CTTCAGCACGGCTGGTTGTAGACGGCAGCGAATGCGTTGGTTTCTTCAGCCTCGGTTACCGGTCTAAAACTTGCTTGTGGAACCAATCGACTGTGCTCCGCTGTAAATACACATAAACTTGGGCCTACGTTGGTGATTCCGCCAATAAGCAAATTCGTCTTCTCATCTACCAGTTGTCGTCGACGGGCCTCTACGAAGGGGTTGTATTGTTTCAGCAAATCCGTACCAATTATGGGCACGGAAACAGTAGCCCAAAGAAATAGCTCATGGATAGGTTTGCTCAAACCCAAGCCTGGGTAGGCACATCTTTTTCCAAACGTTTTGATCTTCCTGACGTTGAGTGCTTGCAGTTTGATGGATGGTTCGTGATGACATTGGCTTTTGATCACTTGGAAAAGGTTAACTCCTGAGCCAACGCGGTAGAAGCTGCAAACCTTAGTTTTTACGCCCATTAAGATACGGCAAATAGCCTTTCCCGACGGTAACGATTACCGTTCGCGCATGCTACAGAGGCGTTTTCCGGGTTTAGTTTTGTATTTACGGAAAGCACATGGCTTCCTATAATTTCTGGCTCCTTGGACACAGGTATTTTGGACCCACAGCAACTAGGGTGCTTGGTCATTTAGCACGTCTGAGATATCTTCGATCGCATTTCCCGGCAAGCTGACAATAACTAAGTTGAACTTAGTTCCTTACTAGTGGATATGTCTCGAGGCAAGTTGAGCTTCCACGTGGGAGAACCATGCGGATGGTCTGTGGGCCCAGAAGGTGGGAAGCTGAAAGGTTATGGCCATCTACACAGTCGAGTCGTTGTCAGCCATTGATCAGGGGTTTAAGGCGGCACGATGCTGACAGTAGTGAAATTGCAATGTAAGAAAAACAACAGGGAATGCAATGAAAGAATGAAAAAACCGTGCCGAAAACAAAAACAGAACAAATGAGTCAACGCAGGATGAAGAAAGTACTAGACAAGGTAAGGAATAATGCTTAAGCTCACCAATTGTAGGGGTGTTTTACTATTCTGTAACGTTTGACCAACCCTACTTAACTTTATGTGCTCTAGTAACTGTTTAACCAGTGCCTTACCACACGTGTAAGTACTGGTAATAAAACGCATCAAAAGGATTGGTTCGGGAATATATTTAAAGAAGTAATGTATTTAATTAGAGTAAACGAAATAGTAATGAACGCGGGAGAAGCTTATTCAAGTTATCTGGCTAGTATGGCTGAGCTAGGGATTCTGAGTACGCATATGGCAAGCCAGCACTAAGGAAGTGCAATATGGGGTCTAAGCCTGCTTGGATGCATGCTCGTCATAACAAAAGTTAAAACACCTAAAGCATCCGGAGGCGAGCTCAAGATTAATTAAGTTAATTTAATTTACTCTATTTATTTTAGCCCTAGTTGTATTTTGGTGCCGAGAAGATCCACCACAAACTTATCCAGGATTCTCTTTTCCTCTCGCCCTGCTTCATTCCAAATTGTTTTCTCTCTCTTTCTCTACCTTGTTTTCTCTGTACGTCTTTCGATCCTTTGTATCTTATTTTTATAACCACTTCGAAGAAACGTCTGGTGACGAGACATCTTGGTAATCCGTCTGTACTAGTCTCTGGACGAATCATACAATCCTCACAAATGTAATCAGCACTCAGCAGCCTGTCAGGTATGCCTGAACTAATATGTACACGCGCTACTTGAACAGTGACGTGTTTTTGCTCGTCTCCATCCATCTCGACAAAATCTACGTTTACGACTATCCATTGGGGGCTTTCAACTTCTGACTCAACGTTTTTGCAACAATCTTGCTGCAGAACATACCACCGCTTACTTCATCACCACTATTACGCTCCAAACGGAAAACTGTATGGTAGGTCTAGCTGTTCCGACCAACTGTTATAGCTCAGACTGCTGCGTCTGCAGCGAGACATATCTCACTAACTTCTACGTCCAGGACTTGGTAGTTTTTGAACTTCTACAGGGCCGCAGGAACAGACGGTTGAAGGTAAGGTCGAAAGTCTTCTGTTCGCCTGCAATGCATTTTTATTGCTCTACTCCTTTTATCGAACCAGTTATTATCTTCATCTGTTTACTAATATGCGTGGTAAAAGTGTGCTAATCTTCAAAAAGACAAGCAGTAGAAATGCTTCGGGCACAGTCTCGCCGCAGTCACTGACAATCTCATTTTAAGTAGTTACTGGGGCTGGAACTACGAGACGCCAAAACGTGACAAAGGAAGCAACTGGGGATACGAACGCACCACCCAGGTCCACCTCACCCAAACGGTCACAAGCACGGCTTGCAACGCTCAAAGCTGGTCCTATAGCCAATCTTCCCGGCACTGTAAACGCCACTATACCCAGTCAAGTAAACCCAGAGCCCCATGCTACTCCCAGCGCCCACCCAGACTCCACAGTGAGAACCACTAAGCGGAAACGTGAAAGAGTAGGGCGGAAGCATTTGGAGAAACCACATGGACATGACGACAACTGCCACACGTGTGCCCTCACTGTTACCAAATGTGAAGCAGCCTTTAAGTGCAACAGCTGCAACAGATGGGTGCACTGCCGATGTGATAAAGAAGTGCCGTATCAGGACTATAGCTTTATGACGCGCCACCTGTGCACGTGGTTTTGGTACTTCTGCCCACAGTGTCGTCTGAGATCGCGCCTGGCTTCAGGCTTACCTAGGGTAACCGATAAATCTCGAGTAACCAAAAAGCAGGTATCCGTCGAAATCACTATCACAGAGGATATTCACTCCCCAGAAGATTTCGACAATGGCCAACCGGACGTTAAAGACCTGAGGGGTCCTAAGCCTAACAAAACACTACCTAACCAGCGGCAACTGCATCCACCTCAAGCCTTCGGGCCACACCAGAGACAGTAACCAGTGGACAACATAAGGAATGGGTCAGGGTGGAGAAATGTAAGCTCAAAGCATCCGTGAAAACTCACCTATGGGGTCACATAACAGTGACATCAATGACCGATCTGGCTCTGTCATTCTGTTTAATGTTCCTGTGTGTGATGATAGCCTTCTGGAGCATAAGGACAAGTTTGACAGGCAGCAGCAGAATTCCCTTTGTGCCTTGCCAGGTCTGGGCGCTCTCGAGGCAAAACCGTGTCGACTGTACAGAGGCACCCACCCACCCGCAGGAAAGTCTACGTCGATGGGAGTGACCCTGGGCTCAACTAGAGACGCTGGCCCACTGAAACCCACAACTGTGGCCGTGCATGTGATACCTGATATGGTGACCGGTACCCCAGGTGATAAGTACGCCCATGACGTCAAACAGTGGGAGTGGTCATCGGCTCGGATGTAGCTTAGTGGGGTTGCAGCCGAGACAATTAGCAGACTGCCACGCCCCTCGCATCTGACAACCATGACCACACCTAGATTAATGGCTGTCAACTTCGAATCCCCCAAAGTACTCACCAGAGTGCTAGAGACGTGATACAAAATCAACAGCACCATAGGCGGTAACGTTCGCTGTTGTGAAACCAAACCGAGAACACTGAGACAACAATAGACAGCAGTTACTCCCTGTGCTGAGGCCACCGTAACCCTAAATCGAAAAGTTGACAGTCAGACGGACAACCTCCACCTAACACCGAGTGCACCAATCGAACCGGGAAAAAACTTGACAGGGCGAAGCGGAATCGATGGCATTACAGGACGACCTCAAAGTACTAGAGGAATGGGGAACTAATAATGAACTGGTATTTTTTCTCACTCCTGATCCTCAGAAAGTATCCTGCCATCTCTGTGGTTCACGTTTATCCCATACCATGGTAGAAAAAGACCTGGGTTTAACGGCGACGGAGAAACTGGACACCAGTTCCAATTACTCAGGTGATACCTCAAAAGTATGTGGTGCAATACACTTTGTGCGTAGACAACTGGGTGCCCTCATCCACCCACCTCACATACGGCCTCACTTAGAGGTCCATAACGTCTTCGCTTCACCACAGGTGAAAAGTGGCACTAACCTACTGGAGGAAGTCCAGAGGCGAACCAAAAAAGGGGTTGTTGGGATGCGGTGAAAACCATGCGAGGATAGGCTGAAAGACCTAGGCCTATACTCTCTTAGCTACCGAAGGTTACGAGGTGACTTGATAACGGCCTAAAAAATACTGGATAACCCAAGTTACACGAACAGAGGAATACTACCAAGTGGCCACTATGAAGATCCTTGAGGAAACCCTAAAAGAATAGCCCACCAAAGGTCAAAAACTCATGTGTGTACGGGTACTGGAACTCACTACTAGCCAAGGTGGTCTCCACCCCAACTATTGAAAGTTTCAAGAAGAGGCTGGACAGTCACGCAGAGACCGACGGTCTACCCATATATAGTTAGAACACGAACTGATGTCAAGCCATCCCAACTATTTTAAATTTGCAACCAGTTTTTATTCTATTGTGACCACTTAAGCCCTTTTCATCCCTTCCACTTGCCATGAGTTGGCCCCACTTACCTAAGTTCTTCACACATTTGCACCCCTCCTCGCCTTACTTAGGTGTAAGTAGATTACTCCATTAGTTCGCTTTTCCTCTCTTCTTTTACTCACACAAACACTTTCTAGGTTTTCTTTTCACTGTCCCTAACCCTCTCTAGCGACCAGTCTAAAAGAGTGTCTGGCAACTCGACATCTGAAGAAGTCAAATGCACCACAGTTCAAGGCAAACAAACCAAAAGTTAGCTCCCTGTTCTGTAAATCAGAGCCATACCAGACGAGTGACTGGATCTACTGCATCTGAATCTACCAAAGACCTGGAACTGTTCCGCAAGACCAAGAAGCTAGCAAGAAGAAATCGACTGGTTTGCACAAGCCTGTTAAAAAGACATTAGATATTGGATATAGGAATTATAACAGGTAAGTGGGTAGACCTATTGCAAGAGATTCTACCAAGGATCCATAGCCGTTCCGCAGAACCTAGAAGAAAGTGTGAAGGAGCATACGCTTGTGAGATGTTAGTGGAAATTCTTGAATATTGGAATATTTCATCAGCGCGTACTAGGAGGTTTGCGTTGCTGCCTACGCTTGTGTTGTATTGTTTTGATTGTGGATAGACAGCATGGTTGAAAGATTTTTAAACGATTTGATCTCAATAATCATAGATACTAATGAAGACAACAGCTTTTATGACCATCATCTTAAAGCTATAAAGATTGCTAAGATAGAGATCAGCAAGCATTTTGATACTTTGAGTAAATTAAGCTTGTTTTACTCTTATTTGCGGAACTCAATTCTGTTTTACAAAATTTCTTGTGCTAAAACATATCGTTTAGATGAGTTTAATTATCGTGTATTTGAAGGCTTCCGGTTTAAGCCACCAACGAACTCAATGCAACGTAATTATGTCGAGCTCCTGAGATTACTAGAGAAAAGTCCTCTGTTTATTGCAGATTTACTACATCATTTCAAGTCTGGGTTAGGAATTATGGAGCATCTCTTGCGTTCTGTGCGTTTGGTAACCTGTACTGATCCTTTGAATCCCTGTAATCAGTTGGTTCAGCTCACTATTGCTCACTACATGAAACAGTGCCTGTATGATGTAAAGTGTGCAGTATATTCTAAGTCGGAGGCAATGTTCCTGGTGCATTTATTCGTCTTTTGTGCTGTTGGGGTCCGGTCATTTTCAAACTCACTTCTGCACAATATATTCTTCAGACTTACCAATAGTTGTCCATATATACCATTTTATGTTCTTAAAGGCAGTGAAAATAACACTGAAAATGCCACTAGCTGCGTGGCACTCAACTTTTCCACAGTCTCACTTGTCAATATCATCATTGAAAGCTTGGCGGATAATATTTTACTATTTCCTCAGCCAGTTCTTGTATTGTTGGGCAATATGCGTCTCATCTGGTCTGCAGCCGGTTTATCTCAAGATGATGTTATGCGTGCAAGCCTGGAGTTTGTTTTCAATGATTTTATTGGATCTTCTTTTGAAGAACCCGAGTTGTTTAACATCACTCTTAATGTTACATCATTTCCCAGAATACTCCAAGTTTTGAAGAAAACTGTTGAGGTACGTTCTACTTATTTTTTGTGCTTCGGGAGCCTAATGTATTTAAAGTCCTAGTGGATCTGCCTGCTACATTGAAATATATATATATGTATATATGTGCCAACAAATTTCATAGACTAGAAAATGATGTGGACTTTTCAGCATACCAGCAGTCACTTCAGAAGTCTAAGCAAGTTCCAAACATGAACATAGGTACAATGATGAACCCATACACTTCAGATCTTGGGAAGAAATCGAAACTCAGTAACCTTTCGCACATTCGTACAATATGCAATGAGCCAGTCAACTGGCTACACCGACGGGCCCTTGTCAGTAGTGTCTGTGCTCTATCAGATCTTGGGACACAGGCAGACCGGCAGATATTATTGTGTTTCTTGACCTGAAGATAGTATATGACTCTTTCGAGAGGTCCTATTCCATTGTCTTGCTGATATACCCCAAAAGTATATTATCCTAATGATAGCTATATATATGGTCATGATAGTGTTAAGGCTTATTATAAGCTGTCATCTGAGTGGTATCGATCGAGGATATCTACTATAGTCGCCTTCGTAAAAGTGACACAGACTTATTTATAGTGGTTTCTGTTCTACTTCACGGCAATGGACGCCTCAGGAAATTCCCTATCCGAATTCGAGTATGTAGTCTTCCGGAAAATATAAACGAATTGCTAGGTATGCTTTTCAACCCTTCAAATGCAGTGTTGCTTCAGGATTGGTTCGGACCAGTACATTGTGTGACAATAAGGAGTGAGGTGTTTCAGTGTTTTTACCACTTTGCTTACCTAAGGAATCAGTTGAACCTTGATGGGTCATTGCTTAATAAAGTTTCAGCACAGATTTTTGTCATATCGTTTGTAGTGCTGGCGAGATACCCGATTACCTATTAATGGTCTGGTGTACTGCACATCCATGCACTCTGTCCCATGCTGTATTTGCGAAATATGGTCAAGACAGTCGTTGATTCATGTCTGTCATATTGAGACAGGATCTTCTTCAACCACAAATGTCAACCAAATTACCTTCAGGTTAGAAAAAGGTGACCAAACAAACAACCGATTCATCCAGTTTTGACAATTTGCTTGAGCCATGCAGGGAATTACAAACCTTCTGTTTAGCGTATGCCAGTCAGTGACTTGTGGCTGCGTGGTATGGCTCAAATATATTGCAATAGTACAGATGCAGCTTCACCTTATCTTCATCTGAATAATATAGTATGTCTCTTCTTTTTCATTCTTGTTATCTACATTGACATGCGTGATTTATGATGTTATCATATTACACAGTAGTGCCATATCCTATATTGATTTCTACTTGTAACAAAATTTAACATGGACATTGACAGTGATGTGATACTTACTCTACTTGTGTTTGTCATTTCAAGCTATAGCTCCATTTTAGCGTTGACACGGTTACGTCAGTTTGTCGTTAATGGTCGTGACTAGTCCACTATACTCCGGACTTCATCACATTTAAACTGCTGCAGGACCCCATGATTGAAGAAATGGAATTTCACTTTGTCAAAAATATGGCGAGTACCAAATATCATCAAGTATTTCCATGTTGTAACATCTTGCAGAAAAAGGAGTCATGGCTCATGCATTCGCAACCAGGTCTAAGATTTACGTGATATTTTCTAGTGTGACTGAATAACTGGCAAAATCAACGCAAACTTCGCACACAGGTACATCGGCTCAAGTTTTCACACTTGATAGTAGTACACAAAGACATATGGATATAATAGGAGTGATTTCAAGTGGACAATATTGTGCGAAAGAATAAGCAATTTGAAAGTGAAGGTTACTACGAATATTCAAGCTTCAGAAGACGTCGAAGAGTGAATAAATCTGCACCACTGTGATCGATTTTCAGCCATATCACAAGGAGTCCTCAACCATTGATTCCCATCATTTCGGGGACCCTAGTCAGGCAGTCTGCATCTCCACACACAACTCAGACCAACAGTCGGGGACTTCGTCGACTGATGCCAGGTCGTGGTCTGGCCATTCTGATCCCTCTTCCAACTTAATCCAACTTACTGTAGCTACCATGGCACGTTGAGGTAGGCAGTAGTTTAGCATGCGCAGTACATGTTCAAGCCAGCCATTTCAGTCGAATAAGGTTCATAACCTCATCGGTTGACTTGCCTGTCTTGCCTAGTACCCTTCACCTGACCTCAACGTTGTTCACATGATGATTCCACCAAACGCCAGGATATGAATATAACTTCTAGCTGAGTTTCATCGAACGCGTTAAGTTCTGCCTTCCTATTTAGTACTTTTCTCAGTAAAATATTTTGTTTTATACATGAAAATTTTTTTCATTCCACTGATATATTAGTGTGTTTCTACGCCATACGTATATAAATTTTGATTGCTTAATTAGCCTCAGTTTTGTGGTTAGAATGTTTGTGTGTTCAGATGCATGTTACCAACACCAAATAAGGTGTAAGTTTCTTTTACACGGATCGTTAATATAGTACATAGTGAATTTTTATGGTTTCCGACTCAATGTCAAACTGGAGAAGTAAATTAGGATTATAGTTAGAGAGCAGCAAAGATGTTTTTTTCCAGTTTTCTGTTTTACACATCTGATATTTGTTTTAAACGTCTCTTGAAATACATGTATTAATTAACTTACTCCTATTGGTTTTAGGTTATTCTTTCTCTAGTTCTCGAGTGTGATAACTGCTTGTTAGGTACTACTGCGACAAATCAGAACACCTCTAAAGTTGATCGTAACGAATGTGCTAGGATTAAAGTTGAACAACTACAAACATTTGTACAGTTTGTACTTAGTGCTGCTGACTCCATGGCTTTTACAATTAGTGTGTTAGAAGAGCATCCTGAGAGTGTTTCACCTAATATAAATACACCCCAGTTTGACGAGCCCAAAGATGATATACAAAGGAATTCGTTCGGTAGTGTTGTTTCACTAACTTCTAATGATCTAAATGTTTTAGTAAGTATTTTTCACCTGAAATGTTTTTCTTTAAATTATGCTAACAGATATAATGTTTGATAATAGTTTTTTTGAATGTCATTCCTACTTAAGATTCTTATAACTATTTTCATGGTTATGTAATATATTCAGATTGAAAGTTGAGTGATGTCTATCTACTTGAATATATCAATAAAAAGTTTGTGCTTTGTGGAATGGATTAATGTATTACAAGTGAATTTTTAATGAAAAGCTTACACAGTGATAAGTTTTTATTTCGAGCAAAATTACTGCCTGCGAACACGTCAACACTTGGAATTTTTCGACAATATTTATTATTACCAATAAATATTATTAAAGGGTTCCAATAAAAGCTTATCATTGTGTGTAAGCTTTTCATTGAAAGTTTACTGATATTATTCTGTCTACTTATTTAACATTGTTTCTAGTCGAAATCATTTTGTTATTCATTATGGTTGAATGGTTATCTTTTTCTGTCGATTGTGGTGTATAAATAGCAAGTGCACCAAGTGCAAACAACTTTTAGGAACATTTACTTCTTTTGGCAATCTAGGTATCCATTAAGCATGATTCTAAGAATTTTTCACAACTACTGTAATTTGGTTAAATTGTACTAGGATAATAAACTACTACCATATAAAGTAAATTTCTCACCACCTACTTCTCATCACCTGTATCTTTCTAGTAATTGATAAATACAAAGTCCATGAAACCACCTTTGATCAAAATTTCAGTCAGTTAGCATCAACATGAGATCTAGCATTACTGCATAGCGGTCCAAGTTGCCACACCCGATATCAGTATATCAGTGTAGAAGGGACCACGCTGAGGGACAGAGGAATAAAAAAAGAACGTAATCAAAAGTGATAAAGGTATAAAAGAGATGGGATAAAATAGTGACACCATTCTGTATATAGCTATTAAGAGGAAGATAATGCTTGGATACATCTACGCCATAGAGTTCAATTCTGAGCCACACTACCACTTGCGCTCATCACCTTAACCCCCTACCAGAAAGTCCTAACTTTCCCCACATGTCTCAAACCAGCTGTCTAAGGCTATGAATTGATGTCATGTTTTTATTTGCCCACCTTCAACCTTTTTCCAGCCTGAACTTAATTCAGTGTGCAGCAGTAATTGGGCATGCACAACACAAGTCCCAGTAATCTGGATTGACGGAGGTTTACAACCCTATCAGCTATCTTCTCCCAGTCGAATCGAAATCGAAATTCGTTCATCATAGACTGACACACCTACAAGGGTTTGAATACATAGCATTCAGCGTCGTGATATGCTTACGTGGCAGCCCTTTCAACAAGAGACATTTCCATAAAACCTCTCGATCGACGGAGTTGAGTCCTGCATTCAGTTCGAAAAACACAAAGTGTCATGTGCACGTAAGTGTATCTGTGTTCCGTGAAGTGGTGGAGGGTGAATACCTGGTTGACACACCCACAACCAGGCCTGAAACTTGCCTAGTTCTCTTAGATTTACTGTTCTTAAGCTTCATTTAGGTGTCTTATGACCATAGAACCTGGAATCCTAATAATTACTTTCATCAGGCTGAGGATCTCTGTCTTCTCTTGAAGACTGAAACAATCAGTGACTAAGACCAATCAAGGCCGAATATATCTAATCCCCATACACTAGCTAACATTTTAGTTAATGTAACTGGTAATCCTCAACCACCATTCTCTAGTGCTAGTCCCACTGACTCCGTTTCGCTTTCTCGTCTCAGGTTGCTTACTGCCTTCTCAACTTGTGCAAGAGTTGAAGAATCTTCTCCATTCAGGATCTGACTGCAAGGTGGCCAATAGAATAGCAGCTGGAGGCCAGATGAGCTGTTCCTCGAAGTGTTCTACCCATTGATCCAATTGTCTCTTCTGCGAGTGAACGGGAAACCCATCCTTCCCACTAAAGACTGACCCTTTTTACTCCAGTTTTCTTGGTGTCTTAATGGCTGTATGTTGTTATCTATCACCGCTACCTTTCTTATCTCTTTAGCTTTCACTGCCCACCATAGCTAACGGTTATTGCATAGACTCTTCGTCAATCTGCGTTTGAGTCGCTCCCGCTCCTCATTGTGTTTAGAGCTTATGAGAATGCGTTCGCATGCTTCCATAATAAGAAGCTGCTGATACCCACTGGCCCTTTCTAACATCTTTCTGAGTTATTTACGGGTTTTAATACTGTTTTTAAAACAGACTGAATATGGTGGCAGGCTCCTTCAAATGAAGTAACTTTATACTCTACTGGATAACTGTCCTTATTGTTCTTTATTGAATTCAGCCTTAGTATTCTCATCATCGAGCAGCACTCGGAATAGGTTTGTTGTAGTCGTTTTTCAACATCCATTTAAGTGCATATATGTGCTTTATTCAATGGGTGACCATATTCCAAATAGTGCTTTAGAAGGAGTGGCAGTCTTTCACCTTTCTTACCAATGGTAACTGATGATAGTGTGGTGTATTTATGTTGAGGTCAGTGGACATTACGTTAGACAGTGTCTCTTGGTACGTATGAAGTTCGTGCCGACCGAAAACAGGTGGTTGTCGGAGCAAAGTTGAATTCCAGATTCCACTGCTAGTCATCACTTAGCAAGTTACATCTTCGTGAGCATGAATGTTCTGCATAAATGAATATTGATTTGTTGTTGAATATGATTAACCAATGCTCGTTAAATTTTATTGGTTCATTTCTCTGCACTAAAACTCATATATATATCGTTTGGTTACTGCATTGTTATTTTACTTCACTTAACCGCTTTCATTTCTTTCCCACTAGCCACTGTTGTATCTCAAGACGGATAAATGTCTATCTGTCCAGCATTTCTCACAAATTAGTTCTACAAGATTCAAGTTTTACTTCTAGATTCACCAGTAATAAACCACCTCGAAATTTTTTTTATCTACTGTAACAGTAGCAAGTTATAAAAGAAAGAGTTGAAAGAACTAGAGAGCTTTGAATCTCTTTCGGAAAGGATTTCTATTGTTCTAGGTTTCTCGACGATGAATATTGCTTAAATTTCTGTCTATATAAAATAAGATAGTGTATTTTCAATGCACGTGAAGGAGAAAATGAATAAGGTTTATATGTTGATGACTTGCCACTGATAACCAGATTAGGATAAACAAGCAATATAGTCGTATCTAAACTGGGTAGAGAACAATCCGTATTTTTCATACAGAGTTATTTACATCATACTATCAAATAGGTTTATAAGGGTGGCATTTAAACATTTTACTACCTTATTGTTGTTTTCCTGGTAATCATAACAGTCACAACATGAAAAATCGGCTGTAAATAAGATCGCCTCAAATTCTATTGGACATCATTTTATAAATTTCACAGGTATTCTCTTTGAGAAGATATCATGTTTCACTTATATGCAATGTGGTGAATTTACTTACTCTGAGATGGGAAATAATCGTTTATTAAATATGTCCTGATAACCTTATTTTTGAAGCGCTTTGATTGTCCTACATATAACTTGAATCCTGTCACTGGCTGGCGTATGAAGTGAATATTCTTGTTTTCAAGGTAGTACTCATCATGAAGTGACATCAATTAAAGAACCATGGGAAAACTGGGAGCACTAAATAGCTATTTCTCTGTGATATACAACCCCTCAGCAGTGTGCACCCCATGACCTTACGAGGGATCAAACCCAGGATATTCAGGTTTGGCGGCGAGCAACTTGCCATTCAACCACTAGGTCAGAATGCATTGGTCCACATTTGCTTATTCCTGTCAGTTCGCGATGTAGCGTGATTACCATCCAATGCCATTGGAGAGTATGTGTTCTGTCAGTCAACTCGGTTAACCTCGTATGTCGCAGCTTCTCACTAGAAATTCGGAAAATCAATCTCAAAGCTTGTCACTAATCAGCTGATAAAGATGTGAGTTGTAAAATTTCCAACTGCATATCGAAAGCCAGAGTGGTATACATCAATCTGAGCCACTTTTAACGCCGTCGCGACGTTAGTCTGACCGCAGAAGGTAGGGTTTACAATGCTTCAGTGCGAGCAGTTCTGCTCTCCACCTGTGAAACGTGGCCTGCCCGGGCTGAGAATGTGCGACGACTCTGTGTTCGATCACCATTGTCTCCGTAGGATTCCTGATATTCCGTGGCAACACCATGTAAGTAATTGTGAGGTATGACAGCATGTGTGTGAGGATGATGGAGATCGTTAATCAATAAGTGAAGTCACCTGGAAACACGTGGTTCGTTTACTTGGACATGTATTATGCATGTTGTTGCAACGGCTTTGATACCGTTTATTGTTAGCTAGCCGTGGGTCTGGGACTGGATGGAAGAAGTTGAGGGGTGGTCGGTGTATGAAGTAGCTTCGTGGGATGAAGGATGGGGGCTAGTTGTATTGGGTTAACATGTGTTGGTGCATCAGAACTCCTTGGGTGGGATCCGAGAGATCAGGCAACTCAATGAGTTCAGATGTTATGAGATATGTCTGAGAACTGAAACCAGTGGTGGTCATGATTTAGCTTCCTTCTATTTTCTGCTGCTGACAATTAGTGAATGTTTTGTTTTGAATGTATTCTTACAGGACTGTCCTTCTATTCATTCTGTTCTTATTGTGTTCTCCTGTTTACCCACTTCCCTTGGCTTTGTCTTCAAAATAGTGTTATATTATTTTGTATATATAAGCTGATCATACAAACAATTCATTTTGTTCCTTTTAAATACTAGAGATAAATTTACTTTTACCATGTAATTTATGATAAGTTTAAGCATGGTGTTGGTAAACTTATGGACGCATATTTCGTCCTCTTACGGATGAACAGCTTCATGTTGATTACTGTTCTGACTGAAATTAGAATCAACAGCTGATTGTCTGAGATTTTGTTGTATAAGTACCAAATGCAAACAAAGTGTTGTGTTGATGGCGCTGTTAAGGTATCTGCTCAAACAAGGAATGATGATAAAGGATACAGTCAGGTGAAATAATAACCGTAGGCTTTAGCGAAATGTAGTAATTATCGGAGTTTAAAACACAACTCATGGTTTACTAACCTAGTGGATTATGATCTAGGCTGGGTTTTTTCATATACGGTGTTGCTTGTTTTACCCTTTGTTGATTGGACAACATTCTCACTAGGAGGAAGGTACATCCACTTGATGAGTCGCAAATGGGACGAAACCCCCATCTTGGATTCCACTGCTAGCCACTGCCTAACATTAAGAACTAGACTGTAGTTCTAGCTGGAAACATCAGCATCCAACTTGATTCAGGGGCATTTTGGTGATCATAAAAAGAAGTGCCTCTACAATAGGCTGTCAATAAGGTATCATATGAACAGAAAAGTTTGCACATTACTGAGATTTTAAATCTTGCATAATATATTTTTCATCATAAATACTACTTCATCAAGGTTTTCCTTTCGTTACATAACAAAATGAAAGATGAGCGAAAATGCGTTGCTTAGCCTAATCTCTTTTATCTTCTAAATAGTCTTTACTCTTTTCTTATAGATCGATTGTATCCGTATCGTCTTGAAGAAAAAGCCGAATTCCTATCCATTTTCTAAACTGATTGATCGTCTACCCTGTTATGTTCCTGGTGCTACTATAGGAGTACAACAATCCCTTGACAATGTTTCATCTGAAAATAACTTGAAGGCATCAAATTCATGTATGTTATTCTTTACTGCTAATTATTGTTGCATTTTAATAAGAAAAATGTATTTTCTTACATTTAGCTCAAGTGCTTTGAAATTTCAAAGTGAAGTGGTTTGTACTGGGTTTTCATAAAACCTGAAACTAAAAATACGAATCATTCATTGAAGCGGAATAATATATATATATATATATATATATATATATATATATATATATATATATATATATAATCTAGACACTTAATTTTCAGTCTATGGATGAAGGATTCATACCCAGCTTCAACAACCAAGGTTTGAGCGGGATGGTAGTATCATTATCCAGGACACAGTAGATGTGGCTTATTGTCTAGTGTGTTTAACTGCACATGGCTGTTGAGTGCAAGATAAAATATATATGTACTTTGTTATGAGAAACTGAAACTTTTCACCAGTCACTTTTCAGTTTGCTTAGATTATTGTACTTTGGGAATCTGTAACATTGAAGTAAGTGTTACTATTTGTTGACATACTTGTTATTCTCTGTTGTTTTGTTGGATCGAATTGTTCGATCTCTATTGGCATATGGGCGCCTATACGAATGCCTCGATATTACCTGAATGTTAATTATGATAACAAGTATGTCGATAAATAGCCGTTGTACAAGAAGTGGCTATCGTTCCCCTGTAGCATAATGGATAATGCCTTGGCGTTTGAAGTGATGGGTGTGAGGTTCGAGTTTCAATGGGAACAACATCACTGGGGTGCAGGTGTATCCAGCTGACGAGTCCCAAATAGGACGAAACTCGCATTCTGGATTCTGCTAGCCACAACCAACTAAATTATCATGATTAGAGTAAGTGATTGCATTATATTCTGTAACTAATGAAGTTCAACAGGTTTTCAGAAGTATATGTATGTGATGATTTACATTTTGCAAATCCTGGACAGTTTTGTTTATGTTAACAGGCATAATTGTTCAATTGTTGAAATCACTTTGTCTATTTGTTTATTTAATGATTGTTAATTTGAAATTAATTATACAAGTATTCGTTAAGAATGTAGACAATTTAACAAACAGTTGTTTGTTTACTGCTTTATAACTTAATTTCCAAGCTTTTAAACCATATATATCCTCAAACTCTACTTCTTAATTAATTCTAAACGAGTTCTTAGAAGGAATTCAAGCGCCGACAGTGGACCACTTAAGGGATGTTTTAACGTTTTGTTGTCATATGTCACACATACAAAAAAAAACAACCTAACTCCTGGGTGAGTTCCTAAAAATCGTTAAAAAAAAGAAATGATGTAATGCCATAATTTCTTTTCATTCCTTATCTATCTGTTCAGCGTCATGTGGTAGTCGCTCCAAAAAGGGTAAAATCTTACATTTCTACTATTCAGATTTATAAAAAGGATAATATAGGTTGTTAAAACAATATTAGGACATTCTAAAGAACCATAGTAAGAATCGCATATACACAGTGAGATGAAAGCATTTAATTACTACCAGCTTTGTTATGCCAACCGAAAAAGTAAAATATTTTAAAAGGGATTCTACTTAAAACTTAATTTTTCATATTGCTATTTAGCTTGACTCAAGAGGTGTGTTACTGACTGCTTACTTATTTCCCTACAATTTCTGTGTCCGAAATAACTGGACTGTTAAAGATACGTAATTATTATCCCAAGTTGTTATTCATCGTAGACTGACATCAGTTGGAGGAACAAAGGAAACCTGGGAGCACTGGACAGCTGTTTCGTCCAACTAGTACGGGACTCCTCAGCAGTGCGCACCCACGACCCCAGTGGGTCCCAGTGGCTCAATGATAACGCGCTGGCCGCGGAACCTGAAGGTCGCGGGTTCGATCCCTACTGGTGGGGTCGTGGGTGCGCACTGCTGAGGAGTCCTATACTAGGACGAAACAGCTGTCCAGTGCTCCCAGATTTCCTTTTTTCCTCCAACTGATATCAGTCTACGATGAATAACAACTTGAAATAATTCCAAATCTCCACAACTCCCTCAAAATTTAATTATTATCCGCTTTCTTATGCATAAAATCGGTTATTTCATTTATGTGAATATTGTACTTTATGAGCAAGCATATAATATTAAGTTGCATGTACATATGACTCAAATCATGAACAACAAGGGTAGCAAGCATCAATCTTGTCGGCTGTTCATCAGAGGTTGAGTTACCAATCCACTTTTGAGTTCTTTATACTGACATTGTATGCAGTAATAATCACGTGTTCAATCAGCATCACCGATGAATTAGCAAATTACAGAGCCAGCCAGAACATCCATTATCAGTTAGGTCATGAAAGGCATCTTATCTATTGTATAAAAATAGGTGAGTTTGACACCTGACGTTTTAAAAACAAAACTATATAAGATAAAGTAATAGGGATTTTTTGTTCATTGAAACTTCATCAAGCTAAATACATATTTCTACAAAGCGAATGCAAATGTTTTTGAGTAAAAAAAGCATTAAACCTTTCAATACGTGATTTTTTGACTTAGATTAAATTAGCTTAACTAGCATAGCTCCGGTAGTTCAAAGAATGACTGAAATCTTCTATCTGTTAGCTATTAAGAGTGTCTTGGAGACGTCAATTTTATGCCGTGTTAATTGTATCATGAAGAGCTAAATGTAAATTGACGCCTCAAATACAGATTTCTTATCATTGGCTCAGAAATCCTGGCATATAGTCACTTGTCTATTTCTCCAATGTACATGCTTCTGTATGTTTGTACCAATTGACAAATCAGTAGAGGGGATAATAGGATTATTTTTCTTGCCTATTTTTCACTGAGTTATTAAATATGCTTGACAGAAAGGTTTGATAGACTCCCAGTTTTTCAAAGGCATTTTTTTTCATATGTTACTTTTGCATAACTCTCAAAATAAGTTATGTAGTAGACACTTATCCAACTGAATTTTCATTTCCGGTTCAAGAATCTGTGGAGCATGGTTCTGCTACTTGATACACTTAGCAGGAATGATCAAAGTGTAGATATTCAATCCTCTATAGTTTTGTGATGAATATACTACTGTTAGTACTACTGACCTAGTATTTATATGCTTCATAGATCAAAGAAATTCAATTAATTCCCTTCTTTTTATTCTTTTGTAAACTAAATATCATAATGAACAAAAATTTGAAGAATATGAAGTAGTTGACGAAAATTGTCATTGACCATAAACATCCCTAGTGGGGTCAATGGATGCACACTACTGAGGAATCCCACACCAGGACGAAATAGCTGTCCAGTAATCTCAGGTTTCCAGTGTTTCTCCAGCTGAATTCAGTTTACAATGAATACCAATCTCAAAAACATTACTGTTGACGCATCTTACAAAAAGGATAAATGTTGAAATTGTGTATTCTGTAAAGTGGTTACATCTAAATGTTTCATGGGAATCTCATCCGTATCTTGTCACAGTAAATTTTCCTTAACTAAAACGTCATATCGTTTATTCTAAAGACTTTCGAAATAAAATTGTATACTAGAATATCGAAAAAATACTCTCTGCTGTTTATGAAAGAGATATCACATGAAAAAACAGATAGCGTTGTATGAAGTCATGAGGTTATATGATGTATGCAGATTCTTTCAGTGAATGCACAGGTGATTTCTAGTAGAAGTTATTGATAACTTTTCACAGATATCCTTTACGCTATCCAATCCTTACTACTCTAGAGGCCTGGAAATTCTTCAACAGTTCATTGTGAATTGTCAATTTTGAAGTCATCTAAGGCTATATCGCAGGCCTTTGACAGCGTCGACCGAGAGGTAATTTGGAAACTGCTTCATTACTACGGAGCACCGCAAACCTTTATCCGCCTCATTCAACAACTGTATGAAGATGCCACATGCCAAGTAATTCACAATGGGAAGCTCAGTGATGCTTTTGAAGTGAAGACAGGAGTGAAACAAGGTTGCCTACTATCCCCCATGATATTCCTGAATTGTGGTCGACTGGATCATGCAGCAAACAGTGGGGAGCGAGAAGAGGGGGATAGGCTGGCTGGACTGCGGAAAAGAACCTGGAAGATCTGGATTTCGCCGATGACTTGTGTCTGATGTCACATAAACTTGAAGACCTACAGGCGAAAACTAACAAGTTGACAGAAGAAGCCGGGCAGCGAAGACGGGACTTCAAGTGAATATAGAGAAGACAGAAGTGATGAAGATACTGCACCACCACCATCAACAACAACAACAAACTCCAGTCACCATGAACGGGAGAAACTTAAAGGAAGTAACCTCCTTCACCTATCTAAGAAGCACTGTTTCAACTACGGGCGCGACAGACGAGGACGTCAAAGTCAGAATCGGAAAAGCAAGACAGGCATTCATTAGCCTGAAACCAGTGTGGAGATCTTCTGCACTCAGCATGCGGAACAAGATCCGGATTTTCAACACCAACGTGAAGTCAGTGCTTCTGTATAGCTCGGAGACTTGGCGTGTTACGAAAGGGATTTCCAACAAACTACAGAGATTCATCAACGGCTGCCTTCGCTAACTAGATACTGAAGATCAGATGGCGAGAATAGAAAGGATAAGCAGCAAGGAACTCTGGCAACAAATCAACCAAGAACCCACCAACCAACAAATATGCAGAAGAAAGTGGAGATGGATTGGATTGGGCATACACTGAGAAGGCCGACTGAGGACATCACGCGCCAGGCTAGGCCCTCGAGTGGAATCCAGATGGGAAGTGACGAGTTGGGCTTCCGAGGTGAGGGTGACATGAAGGAGGTCGTGAGAGGAGGAAATGAGAGCTTGTGGGATGTCGTGGAACCAGGTTCAAAAGATCTCAGAGAACAGAGGTCACTGGAGACGTGCTACTGAAGCCGTATGTTCCATTAGGAACCCAAGGGACCAATAATAATAAAGAAGGTTATATCGCATCAAAAGTAGACGATAAAGTAATAATAGATCCTTAAATATGCCATCTAATGTTTACAGTTTTCTTTAAAACATTTTGGTAATTCAATTGGATTTTATGATAAAGTGTTTTTGTTGAATTTCATTGATTTTTTAACTTTCAGGTACAAATGAAACATCTGCTGTTTTAGTTGATATATCAAAAAGTATTGCTGTTAAAACATTAACTCGTAAAATCATTCGATCAAACAATGATACAATATCATCACAGCAAAGACGAAGTCGTTCATTAAATAATCTTTTCAGTGATAAATTGAATTCTGTTAGACATCTTGAAGAAGTTCATGATGAAGAGCAAGATTCAAATCGACAAAGACAAAACATGAAATATGACAGTGAAAATTTAGAAATTGTCTATTTATTCGATTTAAATTTCTCATATCATCGTAATCATCATCATCATCATAGTAATAATAATAGTTCGCCAGTTGATCTAGTTGAAGAAACGTGGAAATTAAAAATAAATGAAAATAAAATTGGCCATTTAATCGATAGTTCTATTCCTGAAGTTACAGATAATGGGGTTAAAATAAATCAGGATTATCTAGATGTATTTATCAAAGGTAAAGTAAATGATCATAGTTCTACTGGTTATGGTTTGGATGGTGGCAGTTTGATACATGGAAGTGATGAGTCAATTACATCAAGCTCTGAATATCATCATTCTAACATTAAAATTGACACATTGGCAAAAGTCATGTAAGTGAACTGTGTAATTCAAAAGTTACTTTATGACTATACATCACACCATTTTCTTGTTGATATTAAACAAACAATATCGAACAAGTTGTATTGTATTATGTCATTATTAAAACGGCGATGCATTAACATGGTTGTTTAAATTTCAACTTTTGGCTTATGAGATGGAATCCTGCTGTGTCTGTCAAGGTTTGAGAAGCCTAGTAGTATTATCATTACTAACCCTCACCTGAATAGAAAAAGAGTGACATCAAAGTAGACAGAGTTGTGTGAGAGAATAAACAATTTGAAGATAAAGGTTAGATGTCAAAGAGTGGAATACGTCTATGTCATTATGACCAAACGTCCTCAATCACTGGTTCCTTTCATCTCAGAGACCCAAAGCAGGTAGTCTACATCTACCAACATGGCTTAGACCAGCAATAAGAGACTTCATGAACTGTCACCATGTCTTGTTCTGGCCACACTTAGTTCCACGAAACTGGTGGTGTTTGGCAATTTGCAATAACTATTTCTGCAATTAAGAAAAATATATGCCATAAGTTTCTTTGTACAATCAGACTTGCTTCAGACAACTCATTGCAGATGACCTCAAACCTCTGACTTGTAAAAAGCCTAGGACATCGTAAAGTGACCTATGCCTCTCTATATGGCACAGGTCAACAGTCAGAGACCTCGTGGATTGCTACCATGTTTTGAACTGATCACTCTTGACATTTTAACAACCTAATCTCATTCTAACTATCATTGTTTTTGGAGAATAAGAGGTGGTGGTGTATAACATGATTTTATCTGTCAATTCCCATCTGCGCTACTCTAGAACCTGAATTATTCACGTGTTCGAACAATATCACTCACTAGGGTGCAGGTACATCCAGTTGACGAGTCCCAAATACGACGAAACACCCGTCCTAGCCACCACCAAGTCAATTAGAACACTGAAGACTTTTGCAAGGATAATAATTAGAATAGTAGTTTTAATTAATTGCAGTCCTTCCGTCACTGATGTATCGAATACCGGTACTACAACTGTGAATAACATATAAGTATAGAGCCACCAATACTAATATGGGTTATATAAATTTGTATAGGTCTGTATAAATATTATTAGGGACCTCTTTATTTTTAGAACCATAGAAATAGCTGTTGTCATTTAACCTCTAGGATTCTGCAGAATGACTTATATATTATATTATTTGTCCCTTGGGTTCCTAATGGAACATACGGCTTCAGTAGCACGTCTCCAATGAGCTCTTTTCTCTGAAATCTTTTGAACCTGGCTCCACGACATCCCATAAGCTCTCATTTCCTCCTCTCACGATCTCCTCCATGCCACCCTCAGCTAGGATGCCCACTTCATCGCTTCCCATCTGGGTTCCACTCGATGGACTGGCCTGACGCGTGATGTCCTCAGTCGGCCTTCTCAGTGCATGGCCAATCCATCTCCACTTCCTTCTGCATATTTGTTGAGTGATAGGTTGTTGGTTGGTTCGTTCCCAGAGCTCTTTGTTGCTTATTCTTTCTGGCCTCGCCTGGTTAACTAGTTCACTAGTTACTAGCCGGTGCTAAGACCGGGTAAAGAGGGAAGTTTAGGCGTATGTTCAAACACTGGTTGTACTTGGAACGGCGTGGTGCAATGAATTCGTATCCCTGGAAAATCAGTGCAAGGTAAAGTATATATATATATATATATATATATATATATATATATATATATATATATATATATATAAATATGTTCTACAAGGAGAGCTTCATGAATTAGAAGTAGGCAAATATTTGAACACCTTCAGTAAACAACTAATCTTATCACTTATTAATACCGCTACAAGTTATCAGCAACCGATGTATCGGAAGGTTATAAATGTAACTGTTAAACCCGTTTTCGTAAATTCAGTTTGTTTGAACAACATGGAATGTATTACAAGACATAGACACCGATCTTACGGTTGCTTTAATGAATTTCAGTTACCCAGCAACCCAATGTGATATCAGGCAGAAATGAAGAATGAATTCATGAATTTGTACTAATTGCCTTTTAATAATTCCTGTTTTTACGCTATATTTCCAGAATGGAATTGATTCGTTATTTTATTTCAGTTAATTTCTTGAATATATATCACACAGTTATACTGTATAATTTACTGGATTACATGGGAAACTTAATTTTATCGTCTAGAATCATATTAGGATGAAATGTAATCCAGTAAATACTACTGTTCACAAGGTGATACATTCAAGAGATCAAGTAAATTGGAGTTACATTTTACCTCAGTGTCAAAATTTTACGTTTTTATTCAGGAATTATTCCACCCTGTTGGAATATACTGCCTCAAGTAACATTTTAGTTCCACCCTTACACGTAAACTTTATATGACTATCGTGGATATTTCTAATTGAAAGTTTTATTGTTGGAAATCTATTAAGTCATTCAAATCATAATTGTGTTGGCCCTGAAATGAGTATTTTGTTCATTCCCTTCCCTTTGTGCACGGGAACCTCTATGATGCTGTTGTTTAAGACATAAAAGTGAAATGGACACAGTTGCTGGAACTACAGATGAGAATTACCTCTTTTAGGACCAATTATTATTGTGATCAGTTACATGGGCGGTTTCTGTTTTCTTTCCATTCAGTTGGGTATTTTAACTTGGTTCCTAGAGTTACTTCTACATGCAGGGCGGAACTTTCCTAGGTGTGAATTCCATGAGCAGAATTAATCGATTATAGCAGGACAGCTGCATACTACTCATCTACGAACGTGTGGAATTGAGTTCAGAGTTGATCACAAACTCTTCGTTCGTTCACATCCACATTCTCTATCTCCTTAGAGTTCTGAGTGACCACTTCTCCTCTCTCTACAGCCTACAATAAAACTCTTAACAAACTGCAGAAATTCATCAATAAGTTTGACTGTTTCATTGTTTATGAAAGCTTGAACAATAGGAATAAACATGAAATTTATGTTGATGGCTACAACTTCTTCGTGAAGGAAGAGAGTATCATTATTTGTCTCGTATGCCGCACTAGCAACGACAAGATGAAGACAATTCCCAGCAAACTTCGGATTGTTTGCTGTTGCAAACAAAACACTTCACATCTCCATTCTCAGTGATAGAGAAGGATGTTGATCCACCCTGACCGATAATGCATTCCTACAGTTTTCCGTTGCTGCATAATCAAAAGTGGATGCAAGCAAAAATATGCATACTCGTCGAATTACAATGAGCGAAGAGGTGATGGCACATATTAGACACACCTTGACTATTCAATTGTTCGTCATGGTAAAGGTGCGTTAACGAAATCAACAACATTGAACATAGCCGCATTAGATATTAGCAACAGCCTTATGTTGTCCAATTCAGCATCTTTCAGCTTCTTGGTTCAGAAGCTATTGTCATGAAGCGGAGAATTGTAGTGATGAATCACCGGGTTGCTGTTCAAAAGCCATCAAGAGACTTTTCGAGTGTAGTCGTCGAACAAGAGCATTTCGAGGATAATCTATAAAATATGTACTGTAGGCAAACAGAACTGACCTTCTTGTCGGTATACCATCTGAAGATCGGCGTGCACTTCTTGTGAGATGGGTATACAAGTAACAACATAAAAACTGTACCCGTCGTACAAGAAGTGGCTATCGTGACTTAGTGGCCCAGTGGATCACGCTCTGGCGATCGGTCTCGGGTTTGAATCTAGGTTGGAATAACATCACTCACTGGAAGGCAAGTACATCGAACTAGCTTAGTCCCAAGTAAGACGAAATGTGTGTTCTGGATCCCACTATCCATCATTAATATAACATTAAAACAGGCAATATCAAAGCATCTACATAGGAGCCCATGTGCCAATAGAGACCGATCAATTCGGTTCAATCAGTGACTAGATAATACAAGTAACGACTTATTAATCAATTTATTACACTTTGTGAACTTGCTCTGTGGATGGATAGCTCAATGTGGGGGATTAGAAGAGCCTAGATTTAGCGGTAATAGTTTCGAGAACATCTAAATCTAAGGCAAAACATCTGTTTGGTACTACGTAGTTTTGTTTTTTCCTATCTCATGATTTCAACCATAGATGAAATATTATCTCTATTGATTTTGTATGTTTCTATAGTTGATTTCTTTTTCTTACTAACCCAGATTATGGTTCATTAAACTGAGCACTTGACTTTTAATCAGTAGGCTTGAGCCGAACTCCACGTATTTTTGGCTCAAACTGTAGCATAGTTTCACCAACTCTTGTGCAATGATTGTAGTTCATAGTCTGTGGGATACCTTATGGCTGTACCAGATTGAGTTCCATTTAACCCACTGAGATACTTGAATTAGTTTCTTTGTACTCACTTGGGTAGTTGTATTTCATTTAAATTTATCGAGTTGTTTGTTGATTTTAGAACAAACAATGAACAGTGTGATGTATTTGAAACTCAATCTGCTTCTCCAGTAAATATCACTAACAACTTGAATAGAGACAAACAGTTAAAGGATAATTCTTCCCAAAATGATTTTCTGGATAGTCAGAGATCTAGCAATGAGACTACATCACAAAACTCTGATCCAAGTGGATGCACTAGTTTGGCTAGTAGTGCTTATGCTCTTGGACAACGTTTAAAAGCGACAACATCTATCAAAGAATCATCACATAATAAAAATATGGGTGATATACATGTCGTATCTCATTTCAACGAAGTATCTAGTCCTTCGATAAATCCTTCACTTCATAATTCTTCTTTCTCACCGCCGAATTCTCCGAAACATGATTTTCGCGATTCTATGAGTGAAAATATTAATGATCGTACTACACAATATGTGGCATGTAGCTCACTTTCTCGTGGGATTGAAAAGCGTACTCGATTTTCCATTTCAGTTTTACCTAGTACTTCAGGTAAAAAAAATTCCGTCATAATTCTTTATTTCTTATTATTACTTATTCCCATTGTATTGTTTATTTGTTCCGTGGACAACATTTGTTCATGTTGGCCACCTTATTTTTTTTGTGGGCAATATTCTGTATTCATAGGACGAAGGGCATGCCACGAATTTATCTGTTATTCTTTGAATTGAATATAAGTCAACGTTATTTCTAGAAATGATTGTACACGAAGTTGATTGTTGTGTTAAGGTCACGCCTATATCTTGTACACATCGTCTGGCTAAGTTGAATGATTGTGCGAAGCATCTGTGAATGACTAAACGTCACCCTAAAATAACCGTGAAATAATTATAATCGGATTTTGATATTTTCTGTGGCATGATAAATTTTTAAAGGGGCTCTAAAGGCTACACTAGTGACCTCTGGGGTAGCCAGTTTGATTTGTTTATTGCATGAGAAACTACCCTCTCAACGAAAATATTTATACCTGATTGGTTATTCCAGCGGATGCTGGAATGACCTTTAAAGTCACTTTTACGAAATAATAGATGTTCCTCTTGGGAGAGTAGTTTTTTTTATTAAATAGAGGAACGTAATTGGTTATCTGAACTGTTGCTAAGTCTTTCCTGTAAAGTCATCTGAATAAAAAGACCTAATTAACTGGATGTTGAGGTAGCAACTTTAAAGGTCATCCTAGCAACGATCGAAATAATCGATTAGGCTTCGGCATTCCGGCTGGAAACGCAGATGTTCATAAAATGTAAGTTTTATTGGTTGTTTCAGTTTTTGCTAGGGTGACGTTTAAAGTCACCCCGAAAAAACTACCTTTGGAGTAACTCATGTACCAGTATCTCTAATTTTTACCCTAACAAAAACTGAAATAAAATCGCTCAAGAATCATTTACCTCTGTTCCCTATGAAATGGGCTTCAAACTGATTAAAATGACAATACATTATGGTATTTGTGAAAAGGTACAAAGACAGCCGTAGTTAAGTTTTCAAAAAAGGTCAAGTGGTATGGGTTACAATGTTATCCTAAAATGGGTGACTTTAAAGGCCGCCATAGCAACAATTGAAACAACCAATCAGACTTCTTTATTTAAAAAAAATCTGCCTGTAGCTGAAACGAAGAGACATAATTGGTCATTTGATTGGTTGCTGGGGTGGCCTTGGGTTACTCTGTAAAATTCGTTCGGCTATTCGAAACAGCTGATTAAGCTTCAACCTATAGTTGGTTTGATTTTCTGAACTGTCACAAAAGTATGTAAAGTAGAGTCATTTTCAATCTGAAAGCTGAATTTATAATATATGAAAAGTAAGAAATTATCTTGGGGAGTCACCAACTCGGTATTGGCATGTGTTATAGATAGATTACTTTTCTTAGTTCCAACAGTCGTACTAGAGCGATTTGATGAACTATCAGAATGACTAACTTGGTTTCGCTTTACTTTCCAGGGGATAACAGACTGACGTGGTCAAAAAAAACTAGGCTTTATTTTCACATTTTTCTCGTATAGCTTTCCTGTTCTATGGCGTGCTGTGACTTTATTGGTTTGGATATTAGAATTTCAATCAATGGATCATAAATTGGAACCTCCTACTCCAACTATTGAAGTTTAAGCAGCTAAGTGATATCGTTAGCTCTTTATACAAAGTTTGGCTTATGACCTACTGCAAGAACGTGCATGTGCTTGCTGAGCATATTTCTTCTTGTATTGTGATACACAGTTCAATCAAGTCTATTTGGGTGATGAAATCAAAAAAAATGGATCAGCAAGACATAATTACTTTTATTGAAAACTATAAAGGTTTATATTCAATACATGAATGGATATGTGTTGATTCAATTATCTGAAAATAGCCTTGGTTGGCAAATTGTTCTTAATTTATGGGTAAGATGATTCGAACTGAGACAAATCAGTAGTTGAGTTTCGTAGCTTAGTCGGTAGAGTACTCAGCTGATTGATTTGAATGTCGATGATTCGATTCCAGTGAGATTCAAGGTTTTTGTTTCAGTCATTATTATCACCCTCATACACAGACTGATGTGGTGCTTGAAATTAAGTAGGAATTTATTCTCATTTTTTTTTGGCTGAGTCACATTTATAACTGTTATAAGTCAGTCAATGTTTCAATTTTACTATTTTTACTTGATCTTATAGAAGTTAAAGGATTTGGAAATACGACACTTTTATCAAATCGTTCGTTTACAGCACATTCTACGGTACCAGAAACACGACATAATAATAGTGAACCTGTTGTTCATTCATCAGTTGTCAGATGTAGTTCAGTTGATTTATCTCAGTCTGGTTTAGTCAACTGTGTAGATCTGTTAACTGAAAGAACAATCAAATTTGAAGGTCAAAAATCTCAGTTTGCTTTTGTTTCTACGATACCTGTATCAAATACTCTGAAGTATAATGATAAAAAGTCATCTAATAAACCACGTTGTTCATCTCTTACTTCTTTATGTGTATCTACGGGTAGTTCTTTACTTCCAGCTCATCGAAACTCACAAAGGCTGATGGCAAGTACTTCAAATCAGGATATTGAAGGTCAAGGTAATTTTCAAGTTTCATATCTATATATTAGTAACATACTATTATGAGTAATGCTATGATTTATCAAATGATCATCTTCAATTCTTATGAACGATATCTTTATGCTTAGTTATCTTTTACAAACCTGTCTACATTTTACAGGTTTATGAATTATTATTATTATTATTTATTAGTCCCTTGGGTTCCTAGTGGAACATAGGGCTTCAGTAGCACGCCTCCAGTGACCTCTGTTCTCTGAGATCTTTTGAACCTGGTCCCACGACAGCCCAGAAGCTCTCATTTCCTCCTCTCACGACCTCCTCCATGTCACCCTCGACACCGACGTCCAACTCGTCGCTTCCCATGGGGATTCCACTCGAGCAACTGGCCTGACGCGTGATGTCCTCAGTCGGCCTTCTCAGTGCATGGCCAATCCATCTCCACTTCCTCCTGCATATTTGTTGCGTGATAGGTTCTTGGTTGAAAATTTTACCATGCAGTCAATAAAATACTTTTTCTGACTTTGTATTTTAAAGTGAATTGACACGTTGTCTAGTGGACAAAAATATGATATCAATAAGATGTTTCTTGCGAAGAACTTTCATTTTCAACAATGCTGACTTTTCATTTTTAGGTGCTAGAAAATACCATTCTTAAGAGATATTCATTGGTTTTTGCTTGATTTCTTACTAGCTGTTACTGGCTATTAGATTTTCTTTGTTTGACGGAAACAACTGTACCACATCTAACACTCATTAAAGACCATGTGTGACTATCTTCAAACCACTGACATTTGGTCGTACATTACTCTTTTGCTTCCTGTCATAAATATGCAGTTCTGTCTAGAAGTGTCAGTTATCTGCATACACATAATGGTATAAACAACCCTTACTGACATCAAATCCTTCCATTATTATCCTTTTTTCATCTTCATTATTTTCTCCTGTTGTCAAAACTATATTTTATATAATTTCCATATTACCCTGTATTTTATTTCAGCAATTCCAGTCGGTGCTATATTATTTCTTATCTGAATCCACAATATTAACGTTGAAGCTTGGAATATCGGAATCCTACATGGAATTGGATAGGCTTTATCGCCAAGCTGATTCATGGGATTCGGATTCAGAGATAGATTATTTATTTGATCGTGCATTATCAGTGTGAGTAGTCTGTATGATGCATCATCCATCTATCTCTCCAGGGGATCAATTGCTACTTTCTTATAGACTATTTTATTTAGGGATCACAGTGAGTACTGGGGTGGGTAAAGTAATTTTATAGTGGATTCTAGCTGTCAGTCACCTCTACATCATTAAGACGATCGAGTTCATAATAACTTTGAATAGCGGTGTCTATTTTTAGTTTTCATCACCTTAGTATTCAGAGACCAATGTTAGGATGATTATTTTCACTGTTATATTTCGATCTTTATTCAACGCCCAACTTTTCAGATATAGTCATATTATCCAGCATAATGAGAGTTATCCGTTAGAAATATCCATTATTACTATCATCACTTTCAACTTCCTCATGTACATAATGATGATGAATTCACTTACCCTGTTGTTAGGCAAAGATGCTTACAAGATAGTGTATTTTAAACTCCTTATTGTATTTTTTGATATATTTTCACCCATCAAATGTTAATGGATACTGCATGACTCTTCTGCACTGATAGTTAGTTTTAAAAAAGGGGTCATGCAGTGGTCATGTATTGTTACAACTTCATTTATGTGAGAATTCTCTTCAGCACTAACTAGTTATTTGCTGTACTTAAGTATTTGATTCTGTCCCAAGACCTCTTTTGCTGGGACTCATACTGAGTCCTGGATAATCAGCTCGCTGTATTCCTGCTTCTCTAAAAGGAAACAATATACTGTGCACACAAGGAAGCCCTCCATTTCATTGCTTAGTATGATTGGTGTTCCCCAAGGAGCCGTACTTTTCCCCTGTCTTTTCTCTTTTTCTTTGTATGACTTGCCATCTTCAGCTAGTATTAATTTTATCAAACATGCTGATGACCTGACAGTTTCCATACCTGTCTCCTCTTCAACAGACTGTTCCCAAATGAATGATTTCCTATCTGCTACCGTACGGTTGTTCTCCGTGAATGGTCTTGTGCTTAATTCTTCAAAATCTCAGACTATAAACTTTAGTTTCAGACGCGAAAATAACCTATGTAAACTGCGTAGTTCTCATGATTCCTGTTCTGTTGGTAGTTTGGCATCCGAGAGTGTTACAAATGTGATTTATCCCGGTGTGTTTTTCTCCGGACTTTTCCTAGTCTTCCCAGGTTTTACTAATTTCCAAAAGAATTTTCCACCTACCTTTCTACATTAAGAAGCTGAGAGTATCTGGTATAACCCAACCTCTCCTCTTGTGTTTTACAAACTCCTTGGATCTTGCCTGTTCTCCTCTCTTGGTCCCCTTTTATTTTATTTTTTTTGGATTGCTGAAAAACGACTGTTCTGTATTGCATAGAAATTTGAAGGTTATCAGCAGAACTAGTGGGTGTACTTCTAAATCTTGTGATTGAAACTAGTGTGGGCAAACATATTAAATTGTGTAATCATCTGACAGGAGTGAGTTATTTTATCAGATAACCCGCATCCTCTTCATTGAAAGCTTTGTGCATATCAGTCATTAGGAAAGATCAAGAGCAAGTACATAAAACTTTATACAAGTTGTCATTTACCTGATGGTTTAGATTGTTTGTATCTGTTTGATCTACAATTTGTATCCTTTATCAAGTTGATAATATATTAACGTTATATATATTTGTAGTTGATCTGATTGTTAGAAAACTTTGTCTTTATAAGAGTTATTTTACGGTATCTTTTTGTTTTTCTTCATTTTTCGAGTAGGGACATCTAGTTTTTCTGTGGATAGTGCATCAAGTCACAGTGATACTGACAGTGGTCTAATAGGTGCTGCAATCTCTCAACCTAGTACTACTTCATCTTCTTGTCATCTTAACTCATCTTTTATGCATTCATTTCAAAATTCACATGATCAAGTTGATGTACGAGAGGTTGATGAACAGTCAAGTCTGTTAACATGTTCATCATGTGGTGTACACCTGGGTGAAGATGTAATGCCTGATCCAATTCCTGAAAATTCTGAATCTCAAGATGTTGATAATAGTAATGGTCAAATTGGAACACAAGTTGATGAACAGTCAAGTTATCCAAGAGATGAAGAAGATGCCCTTTCTGATTTACCATTATCTTCAGCAAATATATCTGGTCGCGTAACACCTTTATCTTTGACAAGTGCAACATCTCGTGGAGGTCCATTAACTCAATCCAGTTTTCCCAGTACAGAGAATAATTATCGTGGGTCAAGTCTGTTCCCCCAATCCGGTCTTATCCTTCCAACTGGTACAACTTTGCCATCTAATGTAACTCAATTAGGACTTACAAGATGTGGTCCGAATGATTTTCCTTCAACACTTTTCCAAAGACACTGTACATCAGATGTTACAGAGAAATTTAATAAATTTGATTTACCTCCAGCTCGATTGACAGAAAGTGAGTATTTTATATTTATCATGGCATATACATATTTTTACTTGTGTTAAACAAAATATTTCTATTGAGAAACACTTATTTGTGTAGAATGATTATAGTTTGTTTTATAACACTCAATAATCTCTGCATTATGCTTATAGTTGTCAACTGTTGGGTTCTGATTGAACAACTCAGTGTTATTGTGCTATCCAGGAAACTCTTAATGGATTAAGAGTGTTACACAAAGATATGAAATGTGACAATTTTCACTACTGCCTAATTACTAGTAGTAGTTATTCACTTCATATCACTTTGTAATGAAATCTACCTTCAAATTGTTATTTAGAATTGAGGTTATAGTCTGGCTTTTTCTTAAGTATCATGACATTTTCATCTGGATGTTTTAGAGAAAGTCAAAAACCAAAATAAGTAGCATTTCATTATTTCTAAAGTGCTAATTATCATGCATCTCAATGATCATATACAGGTTTCGTCTGATGGACTATGAGTCGTACATTATTGTCCAGGAACCAATACTACTGTCTCATTGTTCAAATTTCAACATCCGCTGAATAAGTCAAGCAGTGACCTAAGCTTATAAACAGACAGCACAACCGTGTATAGAGTGACTTTAAAGGCCACCTTAGCAACTACTGAAATACCCAATCACATCTCTCTATTTTATGAAGAACTACCCTCTTGGCCGGAGTATCCAAACTTCATTGGTTATTACAAAAGTTACTAGGGTGGCTTTTAAAGTCATGTAAGTATATGGAGTGACTTTAAGGAACAACTTTAGAGGCCACCCTAACAACTGCTGAGATAACCAATTTGGCTTCTTTATTTTCTAAAACTCGAACATCGTACTCTGCATATCGAAATCTGATTGATTATTTCTGCAGTGACCAGGGTAGCCTTTAAAGTCTCTCCTGTAAGTATAGATTTTAGTTTCAAATTTTTTCCTGCAACCGAATACATATCGACCGATACAGCTGTTCTGAAAAGCTTATCACATCATAACGAACCTAATCCAGTATCGCAGGTTTACTTTTTTAGTTTATGAAAACAAAAACATCGTACATTTCTAATTTCCATGTTTGCTTGTGTGTAAGTCAATAAAGTGCCACATGGCTGTAAATTTGTTTAGTAGCTGAGTTAGTGTTGTGACCTTTATTTCAGACATGTAACTTAAGTAGTGTGCAGTTTGTATGAAAAGTAAGCATTGAATATCGTTACATTGTACGTTCATATTTAATATCGTCATGGTAAATACAATATTGTATATTTCTCGTGTTATATAAATTTCTAAACAATCAAAGTGTTTTACTGGGCTTCCTGGCGATTGCCTCCATTCAACTAACATCTATGCCAGTGCATCGAGATGGTGTATCTCGTAGCTGAGTGACCATACTGCGAAATGATCGATGAAATTCGATTAGGACATAGAACTAGACAACAAGAAGTTGATTACCCTCTAGGGACCAATCGATGTTCTCAACCCAGTCCTACAGAAGGCCAATAATAGTCCACTGGTAAAGTCTCTGACTGCAGCACTGGGTAACGTGGGTTCGAATCTCAGCAAGCACATCAGTCCGTGAAGGTTTCCTACTTATTGCGAGATATGATAGTCCTAGGTAGGATCACGCATCGGATTTTGTGTCTACACTACTAAAGAGCTTAAAGCTAGAAAAACTTGCAACCTTCAAATGTTTCCTGACTTTCAATGATTCTCTTGTTAATGTCTTTTCATAATAAAAAAAAGAGCTTCACAAGAAGGCTGATCTATAAATTTATCGCCACGAATATCACAAAGTTTTATTCAACTTGAGTTTTTGCGCAAGGCTGCAATTTTCATTTGTTAACTAAATAATCTCTGGATTAACGTTAAGTATTAGTGATGTATAAAAATAGGTAGCATTTTATTGTAATGCTTCTAAAAATAGGATATCAGGAAATGGAAATTGGTGGATGCATAGTATATTAATAGAGCAAAAATTAGGCCAATTTTATAATCATGGGAAATGTAGAGTACGGTAAGGAAAAAAAAATCATTTTTACACTTATCAGAGGAGCTGCATATGCTGTAGTCTAAGTGAAATTATTTAAAACAGTAAAGCCTTGCTAGAATGTAGGCATAGATAAAACGGTTATATTTATCTTGATGACTAGTAGTGGAATCTAGGACATGCATTTCGTCGTATTTGGTACTCATCATCTGGATGTACCTGCCTTCAAGTAAGTGATATTATTCCCGCTGGGACTTGAACCGAGTACCCGTCTGCTTCTAATGCGAAAGCGTTATCCGCTAGGCCACTGCCCTATTAGGTATCAGTAGCGTGTAGGTACACCTATCTGACGAGTACTAAATAGGACGTAACTCGTGTCCTCAATTCTACTGCTAGTCACCAAGATTAATATAATATCATGAATATCCGACATCATCGAGGCATCCGCATAGGAGCTCATCTAGCAACAGAGGTAAAGCAATTTAGCCTATATAACAACTGGAAGTTACAAGTATCAAAATAACATAGATAAAACTGTTTATCCATTCTCTATAAGTTGTTAAGTCATTGGTTACATCATAAAGTATTTTTCAATGGTAAATAGAAAATAGGAATTTGACGATGAGGTATGTTAACCTTGAAAATCCAATTACAATGGTGCACTTATATTCCATTTTTATGTCTCGAAATTCTGTACACTGTATTTCTTTTCTTTTATCGCCTCTTCATCTTATCTGTTTTATTATCTTTCTACTTTGTCAACTTTCTGTCTCTGTGTGGTTGTTGATTATTGTCAATTTGGTCGGCTACTTTATTCCTAGCAAGGTTCTGAATTGTTTAACATTATCTCAGTTTAAGTGAATGTAATTAGATTAACGTTAAAAGATGAAGTGGTTAGTATTGGAAAATTGAAAGACAAACAAATATAAGGTGAGATTTGCTTATACAAATAAAAAGTCAATTTTATTTGATAATTATGCACCTGAGAAGCAGTTAGTACAAGTGCGATGATTATATTTCATAGGTATTAGACCAAATGGAGAGAAGGCATGTAAACCAGTGTATATATAAATATTGTCATCCGAAGTAAGCAGAAAATGAAGGTGTATTGATTTTGGTGACTAGCAAAAGAATCCATGACACGCGTTTTGTCCTATTTACGACTCGTCAGCTGGATGTTCCTACCTCCAAGTAAGTGATATAGTTCCCACTGAGACATGAATCCAGTACGCTTCACTTTAAACGTCAGAACGTTATCCACTAAGCCACTGGTGCACGATAGACACTTCATAACGAAAAAGGAAGCTTTTGTCAGTTGGTCAGAGTCTCCTGATGACTAGCTGAAGACACTGTGTCCCTGTCTCATTCTGATGTAGTTTTACTTAGTGCATGATTGTTCTCACTATTCTTTTCCTTGACTGCTTTCAAAGGTGATTTTTTCTGCGTATAGAGATTTAAGTAGCGTCTTGGGTGACTGACTTCATAGCCGGGAATTCAAATTAAGAATACTGATGGGGAGAATTAGATGGATCCATTTCACAGTTGTTGATTAAATGAGAGACTACTTTAAATTAACAGTTGAAATATTTTCTATCTTACAGGTCGAAGTTAAGACGTGATTTATATTTTCTTAAGTAACATACTACTATGGTTTTTGTTAAATGTATTTCGCGTTTAGATGAAACCAGATCTACTGTTAGTGATACCTGGTCGACTGATGTGCTTCCGTCTGATACAGAATATGCCGATCTTGGCCAAGAATTTTCCTCTTCACAAGCTAATTCAAATCCAGATATGGTCGGTCGACGTCTTAACAGTCATAATGCACCACGTGTTTCGCATCGACATGCCCATCGTCATCATCACAGAAGGATGCCTGTATCGGAGTCAATAGTCAATGAAACTGCAGAAAATAACTTGCGACCACCAGCTACTGCACCAGAGTTAGATAACAGAGGAAGACATCTGAATCTGCAGTCTGATTTACTTGTAGATGAGGCAGCAAATGACGAAGAAATGCAAAATGGACATAATTCTGTTGAAGTAAATAACCCTAACCATTCCGAAGTTACACTGCCTTCTGGAACAGATTCACAGTATCAGGTATTTCACTTAGTTTTCGCTTAATACGCATAATATTTAGTACCACAGTCTTACTTATGTGAGTAGGTTACTACCTTTACAATGCATTCTGTGCTATATTTTATTTCTGTCTCCATTTATTGAGACATTTTTGACTGACCAGTTTTTTGTATCAGTTTGCTAATCGAGACTGAAGGCGAAGAAAATACAAGATACAATGGAGTTCAGGTCTTTCCGGTTTTCCTTTTTGTCGTGCCAAAGGGGTTGGTTTACCCATCAAGTTTCCTACTTCTTCGCTGATGGTTCGACATACGTATATAGTTGAAGCAAATGGATTTATAATATCAGTAGTTCAGTCTGTTTTGGAACGTCAGCCTTTTTAAGCTTGTGGTTAATTTGGAAATGTTGATCTGTGTATGTTTGGCATACCTTTCGTGCGTATCATATGTAAAATGATGACTCAAGACTGGTTTGCAACCACTCCCAGTCTAAGAATAGACATTGAAGTGGTAGATTGCGTTCAACACTTCACTTACATGGTAAGTTAGATCATCCTGAGCAGTCTAGTTGCTTATGAAATCTCAGCTGAGATACAGAAGGCTCGTTTGACATTGGCCAACTTTCGTCATCTCTGGTCCAGATTGCCGAGATATCCGACTATCTGTCTGTCTATCAAAGGACGAGTATCGTGTGCTGCAGTTCGTTCTATCCTGTTATATAGCTATGATACATGGTTGTGAAAGGTGTAAGAAATGAATTGGTTACAGGGTTTTGACCACAGATATCTTCGTAGCATTGGTCACGTTTAGTGGAATCATCGTGTGAGCGGTGTTGAAGTCAGGCGAAGGGAACTAGGCAAGACAGGGAAGTTGATTGATGAGGTTGTGAAACTTAGTTGAGTGAGATGGGTTGGATATGTGTTGTGGATGTTGAGCCACCACCTCCCTCGATGTGCGATGGAAGTTGGAGGAGATTTGAGGGTGGCGAGATTGAGACATGGCATCAATTGATGAAGTGTTCTAGTGTAGATCTGAGGTGTGTAGGGAAATTAAGATTGCCTGGCTGTGGTTCGGGAGGTTCGGGGGGGGGCAGATTGGGACTACCTGGTTGAGGTCGTTGAGTTGATAGGAATCAGTGGTCGATGACTCTTGGTGACAAAACTGTAAGATCGGTCACAATGGCACAGATGTATTCACTCCTTTATATCTGTAGCTTAAACATTTTACTTAACTTTCATTTTCAAATTCCTTCTGCCCCTAAACACCTTTGTTTACTGATGAGACAGACAATTACATCCTTTATTTTATAAAAAAGTTTTTTCCCTGGCGAAATAACGAAACTTGACTGGTCTATTTAGTAGTTGCTCTGGGGTGGCTTTTAAAGTCACCCCCAGATTGTCACAATTTTTTAATGTACATTAACATCAAATATAACCTAGTGAAACTAGGCAGTATGGTGTAATATATATACAATTATTTAGTCGTTCTGATACATTTAAAAAAAATCTGGTCCTATTCTAGTCTTAACAGATTGTAGCATACATTTTGAAAACTTAAGTAAATACTTTTCATACCAGCTCGTCTGTTAGGCTTATAACTTATTCAGTTTGTCCTATAATCGACTGCTAATATTGGACTTTCAAACGTTGAACATCGTCTAAGTTTTATTCGAATTTAACGAACAAGGTGGTTTTTACGAAAGTCTACATTTTTCCCAGTAGTGCATATCTATGATTGTGGCTCCATTAGATAGAGAATTGACGTTTGAACTCCGCTAAGCCTAATTAAAATTTACTTACATAGATGGTATGTAGTAAATATTGAATCATAGGCTAATACATTTACTTGTTGAACATGCTTGAATGACTTAAATTCGTGTCAACACATTAACTGACTTGACCACAGATGTAGAATTCTATTGTAGTTTTTTATGCATGTATTTTAATTATATTACCAATAAAACATCCTTAGTGATCCATATCTTCATCATCAAGGCAGTCAATGTGGAATTTGTATATCGTAATTCAGGATTTTTTCTTCATAATATTCATCATTTCAGTAATCTATTTAAAAAGGATATTTTTCTCATAATACTAAAATAGTAATTTATACTTTAAATTTATTTTATTAGGATAATTTTGACTTATCATCACCTGTGGATTCTAGTTCACCAAACAGAAAGACATCCTCCATTCAACCTTGTTCTGATTCAGTTAGTTTTGCAGGTATTACTGATTGTTCTACTCCATCTACATCATACACTAAAATTCAAACTATAACTATTGATAAAGATAAACTTCGTCCATTTCGACCTACAGACGGCCGACGAAATTTGAACACAAATCGTTTTCAAGGAAGTGCGCATACTCTTAAAGAGAGCTTTTCACGCTTCATGGAAAGACTAGGTATGTGTTATTGTGTATTATTATTATTATTATTAGTCCCTTGGGTTCCTAGTGGAACATAGGGCTTCAGTAGCACGTCTCCAGTGACCTCTGTTCTCTGAGATCTTTTGAACCTGGTTCCACGACAGCCCAGAAGCTCTCATTTCCTGCTCTCACGATCTCCTCCATGTCACTCTCAGCTAGGACGCCCAACTCGTCGCTTCCCATGGGGATTCCACTCGAGGGCCTGGCCTGACGCGTGATGTCCCCAGTCGGCCTTCTCAGTGTATGCCCAATCCATCTCCACTTCCTCCTGCATATTTGTTGCGTGATAGGTTGTTGGTTGGTTCGTTCCCAGAGCTCTTTGTTGCTTATTCTTTCTGGCCATCTCCACTGATCTTCAGTAGCGAGTCAGAGTAGGCAGTTGTTGATGAATGTCTGTAGTTTATTGGAAATCCCTTTCGTGACGCGCCAAGTCTCTGAGCTATACAGAAGCACTGACTTGACGTTGGTGTTGAAAATCCGGATGTTGTTCCACATGCTGAGTGGAGTGCAGAAGATCTCCACACTGATTTCAGGCTAATGAACACCTGCCTGTCTTGCTTTTCCGATTCTGACTTTGACGTCCTCGTCTGTCGCGCCCGTAGTTGAAACAGTGCTTCCTAGATAGGTGAAGGAGGTTACTTCCTTTAAGTTTCTCCCGTTGATGGTGACTGGAGTTTGTTGTTGTTGTTGTTAGTTGGGTATCTTCATCACCTCTGTCTTCTCTATATTCACTTGAAGTCCCTCGCGTCTTCGCTGACCTGCCTCTTCTGTCAACTTGTTAGTTTTCGCCTGTAGGTCTTCAAGTTTATGTGACATCAGGCACAAGTCATCACTGGCGAAATCCAGATCTTCCAGGTTCTTTTCCGCCGTCCAGTGTATCCCCCTCTTATCGCTCCCCATTTTTTGTGTATAAGGTGTTGATATTATGTATTATATAAAATCTCCATCCATGCCCCCAGTCTTTAAAAAGTTCATTGGTGGTTTGGTGTGTCGAGTGCTAAATGTTCTGAATTTCAATGAATTATTTTGGCCATCATCTCAGATACGTTTGAATTCGAAAGAAAATTGGAATTAATCTTTTTTTTTCAATGTCCTGACAGTGTATTTTAATGAGAAAAATAGTTTTTGTATACTGTAACACAATCCCTTAGGCAATGTGTTTGCAACAGATGAGAACCGAAATAAGTGTGAAGTTTTTGGACCGAATAAGAAAAACACACAACTAGGGGGAGCAGTTAGGACGTTAGGTAGTAAGATATCCTAAACTTTGTAAAAAAAAATAGGGGATGAATATGTCTGTGGCACTTTAGTCGATTTTCAGCCACATAGCTTATTGGCACCTACTGACTCTTCTCATTTTGTGGACTTTATTAGAGCTTCACCCACCTGCTCAGTTCCTACTAACTATGAGAGGTATTGACAACCGTGGCTTTGTCCAACCTACTTTTCGTGAAGTTGCCACTGTAAGTCATGCTAGACAGTGGCTAGGTATGTCTGATCCGTGTTCTCGCCATCTCAGTTAACTAAGATTTACAACTTCATGTACAGAACACTCGACTGTTAGTAGGCAGTTGGATATTTCACTGGTTTCGCAAGTGATGTGTGGTTGAACCTTTTTTATTCGTACCAAAATCGCCTTGCCCATTCTCTCATTAGCTCAGATATGACTACGCAGGTGATTGAAGTCTTTGGCGCACTCCGGTATATCACTCCTTATTATCTGATTAACTATTAACGCGTTAAAAAAGTTATTTGAATTTGAAGATAAGAACATTTATCATTCTCGAATTTTCAGACAAAGTACTAAAAGGGCATTTGCATCTTGTCAGCATTTTCATATATTTGGCAGAATTATGTTGTCTGCTTACCTCAAGTCGACGTGTAGGTTTCTTGAGGATATCAGTCCTCGTAAAGGTAGGTAGACGAGGAAAGGTAGACCAGCATTATCATGTCTCACAGTAAGTTCAGTAAGAAGAGAATGAGCCCTTATCCTAGACAGATATCACTCGAACTAGGCATCCACTGGAACGAGTATTCAAATACAAAGATATCAGCAGAGTAATTTATTTGTCAAGTACTCTTTCCACTGGGAGACATTTGTGTTGGAACTCAATCAGAGCAGTTCAATACCCCCTTAAAGTTGATGGATACAGAATTTGGCGGAGGGTAAAGATGTGTTTGGTGCACGTGCCTAAGACCCCATTAGCATATTTGAATTCTCTGTTTCTATGTTTGGACTTAATGTGACTATGAACCCTTGAATCTTAGATACTATATTGTTCAAGCTGATTTCCTCGTAGTTATCATGGGAAGATTCTTTTTCTTTCTCATAAGGTGATATTTTCAACTATTAAAACCAGTCTCAGAAAAGCACTATTCACATGTACCAAGACTCACTGCAGCCCTCACTAACTGCAGAAGTCAGAGCAAGACCACTTTTGCAAAGTACTCAGAGCCAATAACTATCCAATCAATTTCAAGAAATACCTATATGCAGAATATGCATCTAGACAATTACCTCTACCTACGAAAAAAATCACTTTACCATACATCAAACATATCTCACAAACTGCTAGCCGACTACTTTATCCATTCGATATCAGCGTGGCACACAAACAAACGAAATTCCCACGCAACAGATTGTGCAAACTAAAGGATTCATTACCTAAAAGGAGGAAAGATGAATATAATCTACAAAATTAGTTGCAAGGACTATCAAAGTTACTGTATTGGCTGATCCAGTCATCTAATAGGCCAAAGAATTTATGGGCATCAATCTGCAGTCAAACAACATGATATATCCTCATTGATATTTATACATATAGATGAACACAACCACAACTTTGGTTGGGACAATGTGGAAGTACTACGGTAAGAAAGTTCCTGGAAACATGGTACTCTAATCAAATGGTAATCAACAAACCCGTATAATACATTAGCCCAATATACGGAATGGATCAGCCAAGTGATATCAGTCAAGCAAATCAATAATCCTACATTAGGTTAATAGCATAGGTCAAACGATAACAACAGTCGTATAAGTCAATCTCTGATACAAAAAAGAAAGAAGGATAGGTCCCCAGAGGCTGATGCCTGGTACCTTGAAGGGGTAGTCGTGCTTGCATATCACAGTGTTCCATTGAGCTGAACTGGGTGAAAACCGCTTTCCCTTGAGGTCATATCACACCAAAAAGCTCTGTTGGATAGTAATAAGACGAAAAGGAGCATATATATACATGCATTTTTGCATCTTACAACATATGTTGAGAATTCCAAATTGCATCAAAAATCGTTTGGAATAAAGGGATTGTTATTATTGTTATTACTAAACAGCTAACGTTGTAGTGTAATGGGGCTCCGAGGGCAAAGTCCCACTTCTGGCTGGATGAGGCGTGACAGTAGCAAGATGTTTCCCTGGAATGACCAAAACTGCCACGTTAATGCTGCCCTCCCAGCGGGAAGGGGTGTTAAAAAAGGTCTTCCCCCAAAATAGCACACTCCACTCTGTACCACGGTCTCCCACTGTCAGCGGTAAGGATTTCCTCCATTCGGCATTAGAACAATCAAACCTTAAACCAACATCCCACATGAGGCTTCCCGTGAAAGACATCAAGCAGCTGTCCAATAAGGTCTGCAGCCACATAAATCTTCTTCACTTCCAATCACCTTAAGAAGAAATAATCTTCCATAGTGTGGGCGACAGAGAAGTACCACCCACCCGCACACTTCCGGTAGAACACGAAACCCAGTCAAACGTAACCTATCCTGCTCAACCCTGTCTCCTCATTCGCCTTCATCTCCTGATACTAATATTAGGCATCTTACATCCTACTCAACCTCTCGCTATGCAACCAATGTCAACGACCAAAGCCATCGAATCCTCATTCCTAGTTTCCTAAGACGCCGCCATCAAGCTTTCAACGTCCAAACTCTATGCCAAATTAGATAGCAAGCATAGATCTCAAAACTGGAATCTCCAGCCATGGATATGTGCTGTGTCTCTGAGGGCAAGAGTGTGATTATTAAATTGGTCTCATCTGGCTGTAGCAGCGGATCTTCAAGATTCAATCAGTGATTATCCGGAGACCTAATGGCTAGCTGTCATGGGCTGGCTAGTGTAGGCATACCATTGAACTGTAGGACAGAAAGTGTATGAAACTAGGCGATGCTTATTCATAATCTCCATCTGTCGGCCCACCGACTACAGTTCAGATGATGCAAAGGATGAATTCTGTGAGAAGCTTCCAACGTCGCTACAAAAAACAGAACGTTCAGTTGTAGTCTTAATGGCAGGTGGCCTTAACGCTCAAGTCGGGAAGAGAACCTTGTGACTCTACCGTAGGACATTTCAGTGATTCTAACCAGTCGGTAAATGCATAAAAGAACTTCAATATGGTCTATGCAGTTCGTTCAAACTTCGTGAAAGATGTACGCCTGAGACGTCTTCAAAATACGGAAGCCATGACAATTCATATTTTGAAGCTTAAGATCTGCATTCAAAAGAGGTTTTTCCAGTCACTTGATTTACAACGGACATGACCTATTAGAACATCTTAACCCAAAAGTTCTCCCTTACAATTCTAATTTCTTATGATAGTCACCAGTCCCTTTAACCATATTACATTATTGGGCTTGGTAACTTAATATTGCTTCGGTCTTAATAAGTCTTCTCTCCATTATTCCTTTAAGTATAACGTAATTCTTCTTTCCGATCTCCTGGTTTATAATCAGAGCTCAATTTTGTTGAGAAATATTTTACGAAACATTCTTTTTCTGTTGTCATGGGAATATGATATTTGTGTGAGATTATACATCTTGAGATCGATAGTGCTAAAAAGAGTGACTCTTCGCTAAACGTCTTTTATTTTTCAACCTAATGGGAATTTGACCTATACTATCACGTTTTTCACAAGAGATTATATGCTCTCTTTTACCGACGAATGGTTAGGGATTGATACCTTATCAACAGAATAAAATAATTTTCTTGTTCCATTCATAGCTGTATATGAGAAGCAAATCAGCAGAAATCCATGAAAGCATCTTTAAACTACTAATTATGGTTCTTGATTTGGTCTATCAGATCATGTTGGATCTCCAAATACATTTTACTAATGAGTATTCTAAAGTTTATCATATAGATTCAGAAATTTCTACTGCATGTTTGAAGCCATCAAACACAATTTTTTCTCAAAATAAGATTCATTTTGTAAATATTTTTCTATAATTTAATAATTCCCAGTGTAACATCAAGTACAAGATATTCAGCGAAGAGACTCTTTTCAACGAATTATTTTCAAGCTGTACAATCGTATGTATTTGGAAAAAATTATATCCTGTGAAGAAAACTAAACACTATATGGTGATGACAATAATAATAGAGCGGGTGATGACATAGGCATTTATGTTTATAATAACAGTTGAAGTGTGAATGATAACAAATAGATTATGTAATATATGGGATGGTACATAGAGAGTATATAACTCAGAAGGGGGTGAAAAAATTGTTGAAAATGGTAAATCAATTAAGTATTATGTAATGGCATTAGACAAATTGGACAAGATGAAGTCAATGTTTCCTAAAAGGATTAAGATAATTAAGTGAAACAACACCGGAAACTAGTTGAAGTGAAGGCGATTATAATAACAATAATAGTGATAAAGGAAGGATACAAAGGTTAAATTAACAAAGTGGGAGGGGGAGCTAATGGGGTGGGAAAATGTTATGGCCATGATAAAGACAGTGACTGTACATACTTCTTTTGTACACACAGATCAGGTCTTAGTTCATGAATAGCTAAAGCCTCCGCTGTTTTAAGGAGTTGACAACGAAAAGAACGTGAGAGGTTTGGGCAAATTTGATAAATAATTTCCAAGTCATCGTCTGGATTTGTTGTGTGATGGAAGTCGTCAATCAAATGTTCTAGAATCGAACTTCTAACAGACTTTCTTTCACCTTTATAAAACCAAGCAGGAACATGTTGTCGTATACGTGTAGAAAGCATTTTCTGTTTATTTCGTGGATATCTTATTATATATTTTCGCCTAAAATACTGCTTTTGTTTTTCTAGATATAATGACTAGACGTCAACGCATATCAGCGAATTCAGGTATCGAGAAACAATATGAAACCTCAAGGTCATCTCAGTACAATGATTACCAGTCTAATCTTGTATGTTAATCGTAATGCATTGAATGAAGTTAATGAAATGTAGAGGGTTACTTTTTTTTACTGTTTTCCTGTTGATTTTTCTATTTTCTCGTTTCTTATTTGGTTCCACAAGTATGAGTCGATTTAGTATTTATTATTTGCATCATTATGACTGATGTATAGCCTAAGTGAAACATGATTTTGTTTCTAGTGGGTTAGTAATTACTTCATTTGGATGATTGAAATAGATTCTTTTTGAAGTTCTTTGTAATATCGTTGTGAAACACTCTTATACTAGGCATCAATGGTATGCATTTTATTCTCAATACTCTGTCTGCACCAATTAATTAAATAAGGACAAAATTATCTTGTTCACAAAGGAATGATCTACTATCACGTTTACTAATAATAGACGTATACTTTATTACATGTTCAGTTTTTCTCTTCACACCTCTTTGCAAATGAATTGTTTTGTTTTTTGTTGTTTCAATCTTCGAATCGTATGAAAATCTACTCAGCAATGAGCCATGCCTATTGTATGAAGGCTAATGATACTACCTGGATGCCCCAAATCTCTGTTGGTGATGCGGTTATCAAACAATTAACCCATCAGTTGAAAATCATTTGCCTAAACCAATGAGTCACAACTCCACTGTTTAAATCTTAGAAACAATGAAATCATAAAGCCTTTAATGTGAGTCTTATATAATGTGGTTTTGCTTTGGGACGACGAAGCATTAGGAATCGATAGTTGGTGATATTAAGTGATATAGTTAAAAATCTACCATAATGACACAAAATTTATTATTCCACACCTACGTCTACTGCTTCACTCAATCGAGGTGTTTTTATTGCTGACTCTAAAGTTTTCACATATCTTGTAGTTCCAGCGTATCTTATGATGTCGCTAAATGTGATGAATTGTAGTGATACACAGTTATTGTTACTGTCTATTTGTCTGATTTCAATTTTACGACTCGTAAAATGAGAATACTTGGTTATGAGGGATCGAACCCGCGACCTTCAGGTTTTGCGGCCAGTGCGTTACCATTGAGCCACTGGGTCAGAATTTTTTGTTCATCTTCATCGGAAGTGAATATATTATCAGGCATATATAATTGATCTATCTTCTTTATTCATAAATTATGCTAATTTAGAATAAATTGTAGGTTATATGGTGTAATGTTTTACGCTTTATTTGACTGACAGTTATTCATATTTGGTGTTACAACACCCAGCAAACAGAATGCACAAATATAAGTAGCAAATTTATTCCATGATACTCGATGTAAACACCGATATATATATAAATATATATATATATATATATATATATATATATATATATATATATATATAAAATATGCTTTTGAAGTGAAGACAGGAGTGAAACAAGGTCGCCTATTATCCCCCATGATTTTCCTGATTGTGGTCGACTGGATCATGCAGCAAACAGTGGGGAGCTGTGAGAAGAGGGGGATACGCTGGCTGGACTGCAGGAAAGAACCTAGAAGATCTGGTTTTCGCCAACGATGACTTGTGCCTGATGTCACACAAACTTGAAGACCTACAGGCGAAAACTAACAAGTTGACAGAAGAGGCAGGGCAGCGAAGACGGGACTTCAGGTGAGTATGAAGAAGACAGAGGTGATGAAGATACCACACCAACAACACCAACAAACTCTCACCATGAACGGGAGAAACTTAAAGGAAGTAACCTCCTTCACCTATCTAGGAAGCACTGTTTCAACTACGCTCGCTACTGAAGATCAGTGGAGATGGCCAGAAAGAATGAGCAACAAAGAGCTCTGGGAACGAACCAACGAACCAAGAACCTATCGCTCAACAAATATGTAGAAGGAAGTGGAGATGGATTGGGCATACACTGAGAAGGCCGACTGGGGACATCACGCGTCAGGCCAGGCCCTCGAGTGGAATCCCCATGGGAAGCGACGAGTTGGGCGTCCTAGCTGAGAGTGACATGGAGGAGATCGTGAGAGCAGGAAATGAGAGCTTCTGGGCTGTCGTGGAGCCAGGTTCAAAAGATTTCGGCGAACAGAGGTCACTAGAGACGTGGTGCTACTGAAGCCCTACGTTCCATTAGGAACCCAAAGGATTAATAATAATAATAATATATGAAATCGATTTCTCATTTGTTTCGATAAACCGTTCGGTTAAGCAGAGTATCGGTATTTACATCGGGTATCATGGAATAAATTTTTTACTTATGTTTTTTTTTATGTAGAAATCTTACGATATAAGTAGATATTAGTGTGGAGATGTATTTTCAAGCTGTTTAGCTCATGTTTGTTTTTCTTTTGCTTGTAAACTGGGAAAATTAGAAAAACTCCACTATAGTCTACAAAATAGATTAAAAAAAGTTTTTTTTTTACAAATTTATGAAATTACAATTTCTGTAATTCAATTTACTAGTAAAAAGTTAGTTGTTTTGTATTGCTCAATTTTACTGTTTTAACGAATAATAATTTCGTATTGCTTAATCTCCCATTGTTAATATGTTATTTTATCTATTCGCCTTACACGCATATGATTTGTATATAAACGCTAGAATTGTGTCAATGGGTTGTACCTTCATACTTCGATTGGAGTAGAATCACTTCAACTCATCATTATCTTCTTGTGTCAGTTGTAAAGTGTCCAGTATCTAGGTTACTTGTATTCAATTAAATCATATCCTAGAATGTCAACAGTTTTGCACGGCTAAAATATAGTGTAAATCCATCCAGACAATTGAATTCTATATGAAATTCATTTATTTTATATTCCATTAGCTTATTTTAAGCATCATGAAATAATTGACTAGACGGACCAATAACTCTATGAAATCAGTCACATGGTGTTGGTTTATGAACCATACTCCAGAGTACCGTCATTATTTCAACTACTCAACGACTTTTTTTTACATAAAATTAACATTTAGTATACGTTTTATAGAAATATGTTATATGTAATGTGATACATTTATTTACGTTTTCCATTGATGAATAATCAGTAGAAAAGTTCATTTTTTTTCAAGGTATTGAAGTGAATTAAGAAAAAAAAAACAAAATCTAACTGTAGATGTAATAAATCTGTTTACAAAGTAGTTATAAGAATTTCTTGATTTATCAAGCGAAACCGATTGATTACATACACCCTATCACCATAAATTCCAAGTTATACCATTTAATGATTGTTTTCTGCGAATGTATATCACTTGTGAACTTGTTTGAAAGTCTATTGAAGGCTGATTGAACTACATAACAGTCTATTCTGAATTATTACTCGACTGTGATACATCTTTAATAATAGGTGAAGGATATGAGAAGCTTGTTGATCATTTTCGTTTTCATATCCATTGCTTATGTATAGCTGAGATTAGAGTACAAGCTATTCAAGTGTTAAGTGTAAAGTATGACTCAATTGTTGAGATTGTAAAGTTCCATCGATTCATGTGATAGGGACATTTGTGATTCACATGCTGAATCGTCATATACAGCGAAATTCTCTATAACTAAAATGTGATTAAGTTATAAGAAGCAAATTGTCGCCAGAATGAGGATATACCATTGGATCCTTGAAGTCTCAGATTGTCAATGTAAGCCTTGTAACAAATGTTTAGTTTGTTGGTTAGGGTTTGCTTACCAGCTGAAGTACATAATAGAAAGTCACAGTTATATACTTCAAAACCAATTTCTATGAGCTGTAGCTAACGTTTTTGACAACTTCTAACTGTTTAACTGCAGAGAAACTATAGTAAAGATTTCTAAACTCAGAGGTTTTACTAAAATTTCAATTTTGAAGTGAATTTTACGAATTCTGAACTTAGTTCACTGTTCCATATCCATTTTAATCTGCGAATCATTCAACATTTCATGGATTTCACATTCTTCTACATTTTCTTTGGAAAATGGGTTATTAATCTTGTCGTTCATAAACTACTAACAAAAATGTTTTTATACATCTGAGTGATAAGTACTTATGAGGCTGTAATTATTGTCTAGTTGAGTTAATACTGTCCCCAGAAACAAACTACTATGACGTTTAATACCATCTCACCACAATATCTTCGGTTACAGTGAAGTGAATACTCTCACCGTGCATAGTTGAGTAAATACCTGGAAAATATAAGATCAATCGTAAGGTCAATGGATCCATACTTTGAAAAAGTAAGGGTATGTATGTTTTGTTTGTGTTGTCATTGTAGATGACAGAAGTTCGGAAATTATTAGTAGTATATAGATTCAAATCAGGAATATTTGCATTGTTATTTGGGTTATCTGCTAGGTCAGTTACCCAAGCTGGAATGGTAAACAGACTTCAGTTTCAGTACGTTAACTGCTTTTTTCCCCGTTAACTGTAGGAATATGATAAATGTTACAGTCTGTGTCTGTGTGTCTGTATGTTCGCTATCCACATAGATTTTGCATAGTCTATCTGTACAGTTTTCTGTGGTAGGCGGGAAAATGTAATATTGATGTATCGTAAATTTTATGAATTATTCAGGGCTATCTTTTTCGTATACAATTTATAGTCCTAAATATATCCTCATTCTCATGTCTTTCTTCTTCTTTTATATCTATCTTTAGTATACGCTTCTTCCAGATTTAATGGAATCAGTTCCTATCGAACCAGGAACCAACAAAAAGAATCATTCATCCATGAATACATCCTCTTCTGCTGCTTTATCTTGGAGCTCTAAAACACTTTCCAAGTTTAATGAATTAACTACGGTCAATAAAGAAATTTCTGATGTGCTAAGCAGTTCATCACCGGTTATGGATGGCGCTGTTAAAAATGGTAATATTTTACATCGTTATGAATCTGTCACCAAATTTGGTCTGTTACTTTTCTGTGCCTAACTATCACTCTTATGACATCCTAACTTTCTGAAATCATACCTTCATGATGAAGTACCTCGAATTTACCAATACAAGAGTTTTTAAATGTTATTCATAGTTTACATTTTTATTTTAGGGTGTACTAAAGATTATGTGATGAGTGTGTCATCATAACATCTGTGACTGAACAACTTCAGCTTAAAAAAAATCATTTTTAAATCAGTCATACTCTGGGTCAAAATCCTCTGGAACCATTTTAGTGATTAGTGTTATTGCTTGTATTACACTATCGTTGATTAGACTGAACTGATCAGTCTCTGTTGGCATGTGGGCTCCTGTAGGGATACTGCGATATTTCCTGTGTTTCAATCAGTTATAGTAATGTTGGGTATTGGGTAGCAGTGGTAATCCAGGACGAGTCACAAATAGGACAAAATGTGCATCCTGGATGGATTCCACTGCTACCCACTACCCATCATTACTATACATTTTAGTGATCCTTTGACATTTGTTGACAGTATGTAATGTTGTTTCATTTTGTTTACCGTTCCCTCTAAAATCTACGACTTTTAACATCGGGCATACAGCCACACTTATTATCAAAAGCTTTATTTGGTCTTAAGAAGCAATTTTCGACTCTGAATCTGGATATTTGAGTCATTCAGTATATTACTTTGGATTTTTTTGCGTTGTTAATCTTAGTGAGAAAATCACTCACTGGGGTCCAGGTATATCTAACTAGCCAGTCCCAAATGAAATGAAACACTTGTCTTGGACTTCACTGCTAGCCACTAAACAACATTCATATAAAAAGTTTAGACATCATCACGCAGATGGTCTTCTATTGACTAGTTGAAGAATGAAATTCATCTATCAGACACAGGTTTGTGTACTACGTTATTAGCTACACTCAGTGTATGAGAACGTATGATATACTAATAGGTTATTCAAGTTGAGGTGGGTTTGACAAAATTTAAACTCAAGACGCTTTTACTTGAAAATCAAGCTCACTAATTGTACATACTCAAACATTTGCCTACGTGATATGTGATATTTACACCCGTACCAAATTAACTGTTGACATATTTCATAAGTTTTTGGTCTGCTTGCTTTTTCAACATTAGCAATAAGGAAATAGTAAAATAATTATTTGATTACCTGAAGTAGTGTCGGCTAAAATATACTCATTTTGGGTAGTGCCTGAGTTGCTGAATCAAGCACAATCCATCTCCCTGTTGAGTTACTATTTTACACTGCGTTTTAAGTGACCATCAAACAATGTTTATACTAATTAACCTAGAATACAAGTTTGTACATTCTCATTTAATGGTATTACTATTATTATGCTTATATTTGTAAGAGAATAATGATCTAGTTTTCGAAATACCTCCAGATTCATTGTAAACTCGAATAATTTTCAAAAGCCAATGGTTAACTTGAAAAACACTAACATGGGTTACCGCATCATCATAATAGATTTGATAGTCATTGTTATAATGTGCTTTCCAAAACTGGAGAATCTTTAAAAATTGCGATATTCAGATGAACAGGTACCTATAAGATACATTGGGATATATAATATTAGTCATTGTTACATAGTAGTGGATTAGAAGTAGGTAATGATCGACAGTTTTGAAATGATAGTTTCTATCCTGTGTTTGATATCATAATTTCCATACTGTCAAACAGTTTGTATTTCTCACCTTTTTTTTTCTTTCTCACTTCACTAATGGATTAGAAGAAACTGTTGATGAAATGATGGAACGTTATCGTCGACAGACAGGAATTACTTCAATGGCTGATTCATTGTCTAGTCATCAACTGTCTAATTCATTCTACTGTGATGAAAAACAAGTTCCTAGTACCTTGGAGGGTACTTTGAATAGAAACGATAATCATAAATCTGGTGATTGTAAAAGTGCGATGAAGAAGACTTCTATGGCTTCATCAGCATCCTCCTCTTCTTCTTCTTCATCTTCCGCTTCCTTCTCATCTTCTTATCTGCAGTCACATAGATCAATCCCTCAATTATTCAACTTAGCTTTACATGGTCTACAAGAGATATTTTCTAATTCAACATTAAGTATTATTGCTTTAAATACGATTAATAAAATTAGGCTGACATGGAAACTTATACATAATCAGCCGTTGTCTCAGCAAGTCAATATAAGTAGTATATTTCATGAGAATCAAATTTTAATAACTTTACTTAGTTCCATGCTAGCTGGATTGCATGATACACAGGTTAGTGGATTGATCTGGAGTGTTTTTTTCTTTTGTTGCATTGGGAATGCCTATTTTTGATTATTTGCCTATTATATAACTCTTTCATGAAATAGTGTTTATTGAAAATCATATTATTTGCAATGTAGTGCGTTTTTTCTTGATTTTTTTGTAGTTAACCTACTCTGATGTTAAGTTGTATAAACTTTGGTACATGTTAAGTTCAAATGACGATAATGTAGACGTAGAGAAGTGTCGATGGTCTAATACAATAATGATAATGAGGTTTATATCAAAAATGATATTAATGAAAAAGTAAAATATTAAAGAAAAAACCTTTGAGTATGGCACTATCGAACAGGAACCTTCATTGGTATCATAGTGACAATGAGAAACTGAAGAACAACACTGGCCGGTTAGCTTTCAAAACAAGTGAATCAGTTCATGTCACTCTATAAGCCGCTCCAAAAAATACTAAAATGGCCAAGAGATAACTTTTTCATGGTATAAAGAAACAATATTAGTCATTTGAATATTTACTACGGTGATCTTTAAGAGCCACTCAATAATTAGACTGACTCCGAAGATCATCTTGACAGCAACTGCAATAACCAATTAAGTTTCCTTAGTTTATAAAAAATCTACCTGTTCAGCCGTAAAAAACAAATCTTATTGGCTACATGAGTCACCCTTAGTGGCTTTAAAGGCCACTGTAGCAGCGATTGAAATAGTCGATCAGGTTTTGGTATTTCAGTTGAGGAGGTAGTTTTCCATAAAACAGAGAATACAAAGTGGAAATTAAGGCCATAGTAGAGTGGTTTTAAACGCCATCTGAAAAGCCGCTGAGATGACTACCTTTCTGTGCGAAATATTATAACCGGATTGGTGTTCTCAGGAATTGTCTAGAATGACCTGTAGGGTTACTCCTAAAGCGTGCATAACTGATAGGTTGATAGAAGGTTTGTCAAGTGATGTTAAAGATCACTCTAGCAACTGCTAAAATAATCAATTAGGTTTCGTTATTGTATCAAAAAGCTACCTGTTCACTCTGGTGGTTACTAGGGTGAACTTTAGACCCATTCAGCTTGTCAATCTACTAGAGAGAGAGAAGTATGTGGATGATAAATACTTACCATGTGAGCAGAGTGGTTTTTGCTTAATAGGAGTAGAGCAGATATACAAAGCATATTCAAATGTTAATTTATATTTGAGTATTCTTCTGAAGTGTTTCTCGATTTATAACGTTTGCTTATTTAAGGCGCTTTCATCAGTGTTGTTGTCAAATGAAAAATCACTTAAAACGGGAAACGATTCTGAACAATTTCATTCTTCCTGAACAAGAATGTAATATCACTCTTTAATTCGTTCCAAAGTCGGAATTTATGAGGTTGAAACGAAAAATCTTGATATGTGGATTAAAATGAATTGAAACCCCCCAACAGTCAAGTAGTATCACTGGCCCTGACACAATAGATGTGACTAATTACGTAGTGCACAGATGTTCACAAGGTGGCTGAAGGCGTTCAATATAAAAAGCGATAGTTATTTAAGGAAATATACCAAGACTGAACAGTTTTTTTAATCCATCGTATGTTTGTGATGCCTATGATACAGACAGTTTAAAGTCCAGGTATGAAACCTGCTTGGTGTTTCCAAGTTTGCAGTTGTTGTTGAATATTGTCACATACATTCTGACAAAATCTCGGCATGGATGTAAAAGGATCTTTTAGCTTTTACCAGTGTAGACCTTTTATCTTCTCACCATGATGTCCGATTACCTACCAACTGTCGAGTTCGCTATGTTTGAGTTTGCTCTTTTCTACTATGTGACTGTGAAAAATTGCCATCGAAGCTAGAAAAAGTGAGAAGACTTCAGATGTTTGACCACTGTTTTCTTCATGGCATGGGTCATGTGTGGTGGTGGTGGTGGTGGTGGTGCCACCTAGTCAGTAGTGTAGAAATCAGAGGTAGAGTTTTGTGCAGAATCGGCAAGTCAGTTGATGTGGTTGTCAACTCTTATCGACTTTGCTGACTGAGTGATTTGTTAACCATACCTGTTCACCGTTTACCTCGTCGCATAATGTTAGTTCAAGTTGGTTCAGGCTGGTGGTAGAAGGCGGTCAAACTGAAGCATGATATTATTGCCTAAAGTCTTTTACTGTTGATTTGGATTGTGTGGAGAAATTTGGCTTTCTCGGTTGAGATGTGTATGATAGCTAAGTGACATAGCTGTGACTCGATGTCAGAGGTGCATTCAAATATTTATGGCCATCCGGAAATAGACTATTGTTCTATGCGTTCTTCTCGTCTTCATCTTTGAATTACTATCTTCTTTATTTCGCTGTCGTTCATCGTGGTGCCTTCTAGCTTGATGTGCTAATATGAGATGTGGCAACTGGGGACCGTTATACAAGAATGTCAGGTGCCATAGTTGATGATGACTGACTGACTGATGGAGGCCTCGTTCTTTTCTGTGAACATTGGAAGATCGAGTAATTCATCTCTCCTTTCATCTAGTTGTGTTGTATTTTAAAACTGTTACGGTATCCCACCGTAATGTGTGAAAATAAGTTTGTACATATTTGGTGATAGCTAGGCTTTTCTTCAGGTAACTTATTTGGTTAGTCCACTGTATATTTGGCTGACGTTTTGTGTTGCGTTATCCTAGATGACGCCAGTTGGTTACTCTCACGTATGTACTTGACCTGATAATCGTTCAATGGTATTCATAGTATATTTTGTTTGACTTGATTAGATCCACTGGAATACCTCAGTCATCATCGTTTTTCAGGGCAACCAATATTTTTCTTTTCTTTTTGGTCTAATTGTTATATTACATTTTCACTTATCTGTGTTGATTGATCTCCAGCAAAATTCAACAGTATATGATGTTCTGATGGAAACAAAAAATATTATTCTAGAATTAAACAAACGACTGGATATCGGTGAAAATTTCGGTTCTGTTCTTGAGAAAGTAAATCATTCAACTATCCCTAATGATAATTTGCCTGAGAACAATTCCAGCAATTCTAAACATCATAACAATTCGCAATTCAATACAACTAATGGGACATCATCTTGTCCTCTTAATAAATGCCTGATCTCTAGTCTTCGGCAATATCTTCGACGGCGCCAGGTGTACAGAGCTCATTTAATCAAAAGTCGTCAGCAGTTAAATCAACTTAAATCGAATCTAGAGCTTTCTGTAAATTGGTAGGAATACTTTTCGTTTACTGTATATATATATATATATATATATATATATATATATATATATATATATATATATATATATATATATATATATATATATATATATATATATATATATATACATATGGTCACTGGAGGCGTGCTACTGAAGCCCTATGTTCCACTAGGAACCCAAGGGACTAATAATAATAATAATAATATATATATATATATATATATATATATATATATATATATATATATATATAAATTTTATTTAACGTTTTGAAGAAGCCAAATATCCTGCTGTACTTTGATTGATTTTTTCTGTGTTTGAGTTTCTTCATATAGAGCTCGAAATATTACTGGAAGAATTCTGAACTTGATGCTTTTATGAACATTTGTTGACATCAGCTGGAGGAACATTGGAAGCGTGGGAGCACTGGACAGCTGTTCCACTTTTGTATGAAACTCCTCAGCACTCCTCACCTATAATCCCCCCCAGGGATCTAACCCAGTACCTTCAGGTTCCGTGGCCAAGTAATGTTCCGTCGGTGTCATGGGTGCGCATGGCTGAGGAGTCCCATACTAGGACGGAACGGTTGCCCAGAGCTTCCAGGTTTCTGATGTCGGTCCAACTAATGTCAGTCCATGATGAATACCAACATGAAATTTACTGGTAAGACGATGACCATTTGTGTTTCACTAGAACGGTGCGATACTCATGGTTTTGAATTGTGTTTAGTGGATGTTTGATTGCACGTTACCTACTGTCATACTACACACATTGCTTTGTCAATTGAGATTTCAGCAAGAAGCCAGGTGACAGCATGTAGATTGAATAATGCACGAAGAATTTAATATGCCCACATAAATCATATAGAGGGGAGGAAAGAAAGAAAATAAAATAGAGTTATCAAAGTAGTTTTCTCAAGGTTAAATTTAAATAGGCTTTCATTACTTTCGTTTTACTCTTCGATAGTGAATGGAACAAAGAATAAACCATTACATCACCGCCATCTATTTTTGACCCCTTAGCCATATTGGTCTCATCCCAAGTCACCTAGTTGCATGATTTCCTAAGACTGCGTTCAGTGAGTTGTAAAGTTCCAATAGATGCTAACCCAACCTAATTAGGCTTCATCTTACGGTTCTATGTCATACACTAGCCACTTCTACTCCTTTTCTAACCAGGCCTACTAAACAGAAAACTGTATGGAATCTTTTAGGAATGATGTCATTGTATTTCTCTTGTTTATTTCTTTTGTTGCTTTATAAGGTTACAACAAAGTATACGTCTTCTGCAACAATATGTAACAAAAAGAAATTTATCAGAATTAATCAGCAGAACAAACAGCTTTTTACAGAATTCTATGAGGAATTCTCTAGTGAACAATCGTATTGTGATCCAAAATTACGTGTTGAATTGGTACGAAAACTTGTTGCACGGTTGATAGATAAAATGAAAATGAAATGGCGTGAATCATCTTTCAATCATTCTACAGTTTCAACATCTATTGAGTTACAGTCGTCATCTGATTACGTGACGTGCATTAATCCAGGGAATAATAATAATAGTATTGAGAATGTATTCACTCATTTAGAAAGACTTGTAATGGATGAAATTTATTCTTCTGTGATATGGATTAACGATTCAGCTGTAGAAGAAGAACGTGATGAGTACGTTTTCCATTTTCTTACTTTGTATATATATATTTGTCCCTTTGGTTCCTAGTGGAACATAGGGCTTCAGTAGCACGTCGCAACTTCACTCTAATCTCTGCTGTCTTTTCAACCTGGCTCCACGACTGCCCGAAAGCTTTCATTTCTTCCTCATATGATCTCTTCCATGTCACCCTCAGCTGGGACGCCCACTTCATCGCTTCCCATCTGGGTTCGACTCGATGGACTGGCCTGACGCGTGATGTCCCCAGTCGGTCGCGCTATATCGTGAACTGACAGAGGTTCAAAATATGGACCACTGTATTGGGACCCAGTAGCTCAATGGTAACGTGGTGGCCACGGAAGCTGGTCTGATCCCTGGCGGGGTCGTAGGCGCGCACTGCTGAGGAGTCCCGTTCTAGGACGGAACAGCTATCCAGTGCTCTCAGGTTTCCATTGTTCCTCCAAGTGACGTCAGTATCAAATTCAAATGTCTCTAAATCCCCACAACCCTCCCCCCAAATTAAATTAACCAGGATTGCCTAGTTTCTCCAGTCCTCTATGACTTTGCTATGGATGATATTCTTTAGACACTTCTAAAGAGGTGCGTGATTGCAGCATGGATCTACTGCCCGAAGAGCGGCTCTCCGACCTTGAAAATGTGGACGATATCGTCTTACACAGGCTATTCCATTCGCACTTAATCAGCTGACGACTAGTGTCCGTAAATATGGTATGTGCTTTACATCATTGGAGTACAAAGTACTTTCACAGATTAACAGGAGCTTGCGTCTGCGCTCACCCTTGATGGTGAGCCGTTGGAAGTATCAGAAATGTGTTCATGTATCTGGATAGTTGTTTGAATGCCGATGGGGATATGAGTGGTGAAATTTCCAACTGCATATCGAAAGCCAGAGTGGTATACATCAATCTGAGCCACCTTTGACGTCGTCGCGTCGTTAGTCTGACCGTAGAAGGTAGGGCTTACAACGCTTCAGTGCGAGCAGTTCTGCTCTCCACCTGTGAAACTTGGTCTGCCCGGGCTGAGAATGTGCGACGACTCTGTGTTCGATCACCATTGTCTCCGTAGGATTCCTGATATTCCGTGGCAACACCATGTAAGTAATTGTGAGGTACGATAGCGTGTGTGTGAGGATGATGGAGATCGTCAATCAATAAGTGAAGTCACCTGGAAACACGTGGTTCGTTTACTTGGACATGTATTATGCATGTTGTTGCAACGGCTTTGATACCGTTTATTGTTAGCTAGCCGTGGGTCTGGGACTGGATGGAAGAAGTTGAGGGGTGGTCGGTGTATGACGTAGCTTCGTGGGATGAAGGATGGGGGCTAGTTGTATTGGGTTAACATGTGTTGGTGCATCAGAACTCCTTGGGTGGGATCCGAGAGATCAGGCAACTCAATGAGTTCAGACGTTTTGAGATATGGCTGAGAATGTATTCTTACAGGACTGTCCTTCTATTCATTCTATTCTTATTGTGTTCTCCTGTTCATCCATATGCCTTGGCTTTTTCATCAGTATGGTGTTATGTTCTTTTTTGTGGCGCATTTCTTAGCACCCCTGCTATACCATGTTTGTGTTTCAATAATACTAATAATAATGTGAATATTTTCAGAATCTACAAACCTTTTGTTGACAACTTTATTCTTATGTGTATTTCACTCCTCTGTCAACATTTTATGATACGGTTATTTATATATTTCATATGTGCTAGCAGCAATGGAATCGACGTCATATGTTTCAGCCTATTCGTCGCTTGTCAAGCGTAATAACTTTCCTTGGATTTCAGTGCTCATAACTTCAAAAAACTAGAGCGTTACGCACTAGGGTATCGAGTTACGATAGTAAACATCTTGTAAAATAGTTAACATTATGTTACAGTACCAAAACATGATTACTTGTAATAGCAAGACGTTCGTCACGTATATAATAACATGTGGAGCTGTGGCAGATAGGTTCTTGGAGATGAATTTAAACCGGTTGATCGCGTATTCAAGTCCTGTTCCACCTACTGAGGTTTGAACAGTCACCCAGTACATACTAAGTATGACTCATTACCTACTGCACAAATGTGCACAAAGTTGCTGAGTACATTTCAGTTTGATATACTATTAGAAACTGGTCATTTTAGTCCTAATAACGAATAATAGTGAAATCGAAAACTACTATATTTTTCCATAGTAACATTTTCTTTCGTTTTTAAACTTGACAGCTTATTCCATCGAGAGTTAGGATTACTGCAGAATACAATTACACCAGTGGAACTAAGAATACCTGAACATTATCATGTTATTCTACCACTTCAGTCTGTACAAAATGAACTTCGACTGCTTGACTGTTATCATGTAAGTTTTGTGTTGTTGTTTCTTTCTATTTTTGTTCTCAATATTATGAAATTAGAAAACAATGAAAAATGGATGGAGAAAGTTAAAAATAAGGTGGTTAATCAGACAACAGTTTTTACGATTGAAGGGAATACAATATTATACAATATCCAAGTCTTATTTTGTGCATAATTTCGATGCCTATTGATCTACCATACTCATATAATTACTGTTTTCAAGATGCAGTTGAATGAATACAATGCAATATTGCTGATTAAATGAGTGAAAAATAGTGGATATATCATTTATTGAATGAAGCAGAACTAAGCACAATTATGATGTGTGAAACTATAGTTGATTGATTTACGGAGATGACTTTTAACCAATCGGGTTATAGATACGAACTCCACTCTACTTACGAAGGTTTGAGCAGCCATTTAGTATCACCAGCTCTCACACATTAGGTGTGGCTCATTTTCTACTACAGCACATTGCTAAATGCATCTTATCTTTTATATTTATGTACTTATAGTCTGTCCATCAATCACAAATTAACAAAAAGTCAAATCAGTTGAAGAGTATGAGGTTGGAGTTGCACGTTACTGTGATACGTTCTAAATATGGTCACATGGCGAACAGAGATAAACCTTATAGTATATCTGAAGGTTGATTTCCTTTAGTTCCTTTCAGATGTATAAAATATTTTTCCTAAATATCCAAACAAACTTGACTGAGTTGTAAACCTATATAATATTAGTGTTATAGCCTGAGACGAAGACTTCGTTTGATCAGTCTGCCACATTTTTGTCGCATGAAGAAACCAGTGATGACTTGCAGTCGTGTTTATGTTATTAGTTTAAACGATACAGTGATTTTCAGTGATTTCATGTCGTTTTAGACAGTCACAGATATCTAGATTTCTAACTATAAATCTTTGTAATTGGAGAGATGTTCGTATAATTTTTACTACATTTGTGTATAAGTTGATTCTTTTGATATAGCTGAGAATAATGAGTCCTCACTAAGTAATAATTATCATATTACATAGTACAGGATTATTATAACACAGTCGTTAGTGCTTTCTTTGTAACTTCTTATCATTCTGTCTTTAAGCATTACCTCGATGATGTTCACATTAAAGCCTTTTCTGTAGTTTACTCAACTGTTTAATTGAGGGTCTTATTCCAGGGTTTAAAATGCATTTTATAGTATTTTGGAAATCGGTTTACTGATAATCTGTTCAGTACGAATTTTCATTGATACATTTTTTTGTCACTATGATCGAAAAAAATAATCGAAATCCACTCAATGACCTTGAGCACGTTTTGCACAGGTGATGAGTTCCACTATTGTGTGAGGGCTAGTGATACAACCTCCCTGGCATGACTGGCAGGTGAAGCTGTGTTCAGATACTTGATCTATTGGTTACAAGTTGAGTGTCTAGACCAATAATGAGCCACAGCTCCACTATGGTGGCATCTTGTTCGTATTATAGAGGGATCTTTAAGATTTATGTTGTCTATATTTATACTATTACTATTGAAACATTAAAACATTTGAAAAGTACGCTTTACTGTCATTACAGTTATTAATTTACATAAATAATGTTTCCGAAGATTAGTCATATTCATCGCGAACTGCAATCAGTTGAAGAACTACTAAAAACCTGAAAGCACTGGACAGTGCACATTCAAGGCTCTGTCACAGATCGAATCCACGAACGTCAGATCTCATGTCGAGCAAATTACCATTCAGCCCAGATATTCAGAGCTCTATGATTTTGCAGCGGTTTTCAATCTGACATCAATCAGTAAGGAGCACTTTTCTGTAACCAATTCAACAATACTCTTCATCTCCTGCTTATAGTAATCAAAGTACAATTTGTAGCCTATACTCATCAGTATTTTTGCTTTGTTGAAACGATATGATATTCAACTTAAATGATCAGTATAGATTTAGTTGATAGCTATTATCTAGATATATCCCGTAAAGGTTTGTAATATTTCCTGGTTTTCTAAACTGAATTAGATGGTTCCGGATTCGAGCCTTGTATCCATTGACTGAATGTCAAATGTTCAAAACAATTAATTCACCTCATCTCCACCATTAAAGTCTTACTTGTTATAGAATAATACTGAAAGACCATTAATAAACTGTTTTGAAAATGATCAATCCTTTTGAACTCAGAACAGTAAATTTGAAACCGAAAATTAATTTTTTTTTAAGAAAAATATTCTTTCACAACTATTTACTTTTAGTTTTATCTTCATGAACACTTTATCACTAGACAAAATAAGGATTTTCTTTCTTTGACTTCTTCTTAATTACTAATAGACTCCATCAGATAAACTTCATTGCCTTAAGCGTGTAATGAAACATATTTTGGCTGCTTTACAATTAGCTCATCCAACATCTGTACCATGTGCAGATGACCTTCTACCAGTACTTATTTACTTGATAATACAAGTAAGTCATATTGATTGTTATCAGCAGGGAACATGATATTTCACCTTGTCTATTTGCTTATATGTATATGCATGTTTAATTTCAAGTTTATTACTTTGATATCACTCATTTTGTGTTCACCTTGTATTTTATTTGTACTTCTATGAAATGTGTCTGGCAACACTTGAGACGATGGACTACTGTGCAAGATTCTACATTGATTTTGTCGGTCAATTAATCATAGTAAAAATTCACTTGTGAAATCCTGCTGACAAAATGATGGGTCTTCTGAGTGAGTACATTGGGCAAAACTCTGAGTATGTTTGACATGTGTCTTCCACTTGTTAAATGTAAGATGAATCTCCAAGACCGGTGTGCAACCACTCCCAGTTTAATGATAGAGAGTGAAGTGGTGAAATATGTCGACACTTGACTTGCTTTGAGTGTTGTATCATCCTGAACGAAATCTCATCCTGGATACAGAATCTGTGTTTACGGTTTTCCAACTTGCATCGTCACTGGCAGTAGCCGACCAGATATTCAATTACCTGTTGAAGAAAGTATGTACTATGCTGCAGTCCGTTCGATTTTGTTATATAACTGTGAGACATGGCCGTTAAAAGTATAAGATACGAAGCGATTACACGTTTTCGAAAACAAACATTCATACTAACTGTCGTGCATGATGGGACCACCATGTTAGCAATGTTGAGTCGAAAGGTGTTAGACAAGACAGGGAAGGAAGTCGATTAATGAGGTTGTGAATCCTCATCAACTAAAGTGACTTAGACATATGTTAGAATGGCTACGTCGTGACCTACCTCAGCGTGTCATTCTATGAGAAATTGGATTAGTTTGGAAGATGGTTCAGAGTGGCCAAACGAAGAGGTGGGACTAATCCATGAACTCCCTAACTGTTGGCCATAGTCGCATGGGGAAATTTAGACGAGCTAGTTGGGGTTTTGGAGACTAAAGGAATCAGTGGTTCCGAAATGAAAATCGGTCGCAGTCGCGCAAATGTATTTACTCTTTGATGTCTTCTGAAGCTTAGATATTTGTATTAACCTTTATCTTCAAATTGCTTATTCTCTCTCACAACCTTGTCTACTTGAAATCACTTTTATTCTATCCATATGTCTTTGTGTACTACTTTGAAATGTGGCATCCAGAAGTGATGCACTTTAGTGCTTGTTTCATTTTCTCTATCTGTCTGAAGCCGTGAACGTCCAACTTGTTACCGTTCTGATGGTTTTAGTATTATTATTTGTCCCTTGGGTTCCTAATGGAACATAGGGCTTCAGTAGTAGCACGTCTCCAGTGCACTATGTTCTCTGCAATATTTCGAACCTGGCTCCATGACTGGTCACAAGCTCTCATTTCCTCCTCGCACGATCTCCTCATTATCACCCTCAGCTAGGACGCCCAACTCGTCGCTTCCCATCTGGGTTCCACTCTATGGACTGGCCTGATGCGCGATGTCCCCAGTCGGTCTTCTCAGTGTATGCCCAATCTAATCCATCTCCACTGCCTTCTCCTGCATATTTGTTGAGTGATAGGTTGTTGGTTGGTTCGTTGCCAGCAGGAGTGAGTTTCTTGTTGTTTACTCTTATTATTCTGACCATCTGATCTTCAGTATTGAGTGAGTGTAGGTGTCAGCTGTTGATGAATATCTGTAGTTTGTTTGTTGGGAATGCTTTTCGTAATACGCCAAGTTCTCAACCATCACACAGAAGCACTGACTTGATGGTGCTGTTGGAAATCCGGATGTTGTTGACGCTTTATGCTGAGTGCAGTGCAATAGATCTCCACACTGGTTTTAGGTTAATGAACGTCTGTCTTGGTGTCTCTACGATCTGGCTTTGACGTCCTCATCTGTATCTGTGCCGGCTGTAGTTGAAACGATGCTGCCTAGATAGGTGAAGGGGGCTACTTTCTTTGTTGTTGTTGGCGTTGGTTGGATATCTTCATCAACTCTGTCTTCTCTACGTTGATGGTTTTTTAGTAGTTTCTACTTATAATACAAAGATTGTTTATTGTCATCCTAAACTTATCCCATCCTCATTGATTTATTACTTGAAAGCCACTGAGAAGTTAACGAAATATGTTTTTTGATGGGTAGCAGGTTGTGCAAATTTATTAGGATTGAGTCAAGTTACTCATTATATTTGGAATCTCCTCAAACAAATACTAGTTTAGAAAAGTATTTCATTCAGCGTCACTCACTACCTAATAAAAACGCATTTCATCTTAATATAAGACCAATCTTAGGGTTAGATGCACGTCAACCTTGTTCACGTGTTTATCTACTTAGGCTATAAGTTAACGTCATTGTGTTACGACCTATAGAACTATTCAGTCATCAAAGTTGGAGTAGGCAGAAAGAGATTTGGCTCCCAAAATTCGCTACCTGGGGCACATTTTATGACAGTCTGAAAGATCTCTTGATTACAACTATTTTTTCTTTGATATAGCAAAAGCTTATATATTATTTATTGGCTGATGACACAATTTTTGCCGATTTGTCATATCTTTGATACAACACTATGGCATAATGATCGAATCCTACTCTTATCCTTAGGAAGAGCAGGAGGACATTATTGATCGTTAATATCAAGTAGATAAAATACTTCTTATTTGAATCTCATCGAAATCAGCAGTCAGCGTTATATAGAATGATGATGTGGTTGTATTATTTTACTTTTAAAAAACATGCTACTTAAAATTTGCTCAGTAGTATTTCTGTAAAGCTCAGCTCAAAAGTTTTGTATTGGTTGCCTACTTATTTTCCTTGAGATCTATGCATCGGAACCAACTGACCAGTTTTGTGAATATGGTGCGTTAAGAACATATAATTCAGTCGTATATATGCACGACTGTGATAAAATTAACAAAAAGGGTATTGAGTATCATCATTGTTTGTCTTCTGTTATAAGGAGGTTGGTTAAAGGGATAGGTAATCCAGTGACTAATTCTTGTGTGTATTGTGTATACGATGGGCTCTACTTAAGTACACGCTTCACTTCATAGGCGAATTAGAAGATCTAGTAATCAATAAATATCACAAAGTCACAAAACGTAGACATGTTAGTCTATTGTGGTACACACTAGGATAATTGTAAACACAAGATAGGGCTAAAACGATCTAAGTATGTGAATGATTTTAAAGGCTACCTTAACAACTACTGAGATGACTAATCAGGTTTCTTTATTTTGCGGGGAGAAAAACGAATATTCTACACGAAATGGAGAAACCTAATTGTTTATCTCATTAGTTGTTAGGATGACCTGTAGACTCACTTGAATATGTATTTCTCAGCCTAATGTTCAAATGCTTGTGAAGGATGTTGTAACATAGTCAATATGATGAGTGTTTTATAAAATGACTTTTGAGATAGACCGACAAGCTTGTTTTAGATCTTCTTATTCAGATTCTCTTGAAGTATTGTTGTATAGTTTATACAGAGAAGGTTTGAAAATGTTGTCCTATACGATTCATCACCAAGTTGACAGTCATTCACTTAAGTCACCAAACAGATCATCCTACCATATTTAAAGAATGTTCCGAAGATTATGACATGCCTATTGGGGGTGTTTTGAAGTGACATGGCTCGTAAACTGATACATTCTTCTCAAGCTATATCACCTAAATCAAATGATGCGATAGCTGAGGAAGGCAAAGTAATGATCACTCTTAAAGTCAACTGAGTTAAACAATAATCTCCCGCTTCAATCGAAATCAAACTCCATTGTATGCGAAATGGTTTTTATACAGCATCTAAAATTATGGTGATCATTTTGAAAAAAGAGTACTGAGTACAAATCAACCTAGAACATACTTCGATACTTATAATTTCCCGTTACTATTTCCTGTTACAGGGCTGAATTGCTCGATCTCTCGTGGTAAATGGGCTCGTATGAAGGTCTCTTGAAGCCGCCAGATATTTATGATATTATATTCATCTTAGTAACTGACAGTGGAATTGAGGATGCTCGTCTTATCTTATTTTGAACTTGTCATCTCCACTCCTATGAGTGTTGTTGTTCCCACTGAGACTTGAGCCTGGTACTTGTTGCATCAAATACCAAAGCGTTATCCATTAGTTCATAGGAGTGCAATAGCCACCTCTTTTGTAACGGGTATCAGCTGTTGTATCATGCTTAAGACTGCACTGGAGTGCATCAATTCAAGTTACTACACTTCACAACAGTTTAGAAAGAGGAAGTCAACAAAGAAGATTGATATTGATGTAAACAAATAATTTTCCTCACAAGCTACAAGAAATGTTTGGAGATTACATGGTCAATATTGATTAGGTGTTGTATCATGCTGCATAACTCGTTGTAGAAAATTGGTTACTATCCAACCTCCATTAAACTGCGATTAATATTCACTACCCTCAGCAAATTTCATTATCTTCCACTATTGATGACTTGTTTTATATGACTTCCTCTGAAATAAACAAATTATTGAATTTCGAGGGAGTTGTGGGGATTTGGAAATATTTCAAGTTGTTATTCATCGTAGACTGACATCAGTTGGAGGAACAAAGGAAACCTGAGAGCACTGGACAGCTGTTTCGTCCTAGTATTGGGTGACTGGATTCTGACCCAGTGGCTCAATGGTAACGTGCTGACCACGGAACCTGAATGTGGCGGGTTCGATCCCTGGCGGTGTCATGGGTGCTCACTGCTGAGGAATCCCATACTAGTCGGACGAAATTGCTGTCCAGTGCTCCTCCAACTGATGTCAGTCTACGATAAATAACAACTGGAAATACTTCCAAATCCCCACAACTCCCTCGAAATTCAATTGAACTGGTGCTCATTGGTAACTAGCTTCTGGAGGTATTCCCGAAGTTCCAATAAGAAGTCGTGACCGGTGGGGGCAAAGCCTGATGGTCGTGAGGACAGTTACTCAACGATGACATTGGCTGGCGGTTGCGCTATATCATGAGCAAACAAAGTATTATTAAACCTTGGATATTTCTCTTCAAGAAGATTGAATATAATTGTGACTTTACAGCTTGGAGGATGAAATTGCTAAAAACAGCCTTATCACTGAACTACTGTTGGATTTTTCTTGTGTGTCTTGAGAGTGGATTTTCAGTACATCCAAAGCAGTTTTGTTGACAAACTGAGAAATACAAGCCATTGAATTTGAATTCATTGCGTTCATGCTCATGTATTTTGCTGTATCAGGTTGTCGGGACTTCGTGATAAGTACTGACTCAAAATAGGATGGGTAAGTTTTTAAGTGCATCCTAGTTTACAGTGGCGCACTAGTATATACGAACCGTTGATGAAAAAAACTATTTTCGAGTTAATTATATTTTCACGAATCACTTTGTTTGACGCGTCTACTTACTTCATTGATTGCATAGCATACGCTATTCTATTATATATTTAGTTGATTGACTGATTTGTAAAGTTAAAACAAGCAGTGAATGTGAAAATAGCTGAATTTAATCGATTCATAAACATTAGAAGAACTCATCAACAACTGGACAGTTTACATACTCACTTATGCATACAATTAGGCAATAGCGAACAACAAACATACTTACAGAACGTGAAGTGAGAAATCGATTTAGTGAGTGAAGTGGTTGAATACGCCGACCACTTGACTTACTTTGGGAGTTACATCAGTGTGAATGGGCTTGTTGCTGACGAAATCTCACCTCGGATATAAATGAGCCGTTTAGCATTTGCCAACTGACGTCATCTCTGACGCCGATCAGCGAGATATCTGACTATCCATCTAACAAAGGACGAGTATACTATGCTTCAATCCACTCTATCCTTTTACACAGGTGTGATACATTGTCGTTAAAAGTGGGTGACACGAAGCCAAGACGTGGCAGCAATCGATTAAGGCTTTTTTTCTGTTATTCTATAAGGGGTGGGTAAGTAGACAACCTGATTGGGGTCGACGAAACGGTAAGAATCAGTGGTTGGATAACTCTTGGTGACATGTCTAGAAATCGGTAACTGTTCCAGATGTATTCACTCTTTAACGTCTTCTAAAACTTGTTTATCGTCTCACACAACTTTGTCTACTTTGATATCACTCTTTTTTTAATCCCTTTGTTCTTTGTGTACAACAGTATAAAGTATGGCAAGCTGAACCAATGTACTTATGTGTGAGGTTCTACGTTGATTTTGTGAGTTAGTGCCAGTCAGATTGAAGCTCAACAACATAGAAATCAACAATTTTTATTGATCAACTGGTAATACAAAAAGCAAAAGTAGATGTCTTAAAATAATTAGGCTGATTATAAATTACGTCATCCTGAATAGAACAGAGAGAGTGAGTGATCCAATTTGAAGAATCCTATAGAGTTCAGTTTACGTAATAATGATAAAAAAGTAATTATTAAATGCTTTTACTTTAAAATCTAATCATAATAATTTTTCTCTACCATTATCTTTACAAGGCGAATCCACCTCGACTACTTAGCAATATTGAATTTGTCAACAATTTAGGCAGTGATAACTTTGAAGCTGGTGAAATTCAGTATATTTGGTGTCAGTTTTGTTCTGCAGTTGCTGAGATTCGACATCTTATGTCAATTAGACCATTGAATAGAAATTCCAGATAATAATAATAATTGACCAGTCTGCATATATGTGTGTGTGTATAACATCATCCATCATATTATCGATTTTTGTTTTGTTTTCTTACTTTCAAATAACCATTTCGTTGATATGTTACTGTGTACAAAGAAAACAACAAGATTTCAGTGTCTGTTACGGTTATCATGGAGTTTGTGAATATGTGATGTTTGCCTACATCTTAATCTCTTTTTTTTTCCCTCTTACAATCAGTATACATATCCCCCCCCCCAGCCCTTGCTGTGATGATAAATTTTCTAGGGAAATTTTCACTTTTGGTCCCATTTAACCCCCACTTTCTCCTCGAATACCACTAATTACTAAGGCAAATGAAACTCTGTATTCTTGCCTATTTTTCATAGAACTATTAATTTGGTGGTCATTTCATAATTTTTATTCACTTTGAATAAATACATTGTGTTTAAATACAAGGTTGTTTGTATTCTAGTCTTGTGAAGAATAAAAACAGTAAGTAGATAATTTGTGCAGTAACACAAAAAGTACATGGATGTAGCACATGCTTAATTTATTGAACAAAAGAAATTACCGTTCATGCTCAGTTGATGTAAATCTTTTATCTTACTTGAACTAGGTAGGGTGGTCATGATACTAATAGGGAAAATAGGTCCGTTACATAGATATATATTGTTATACTAATATGATTACCATATTACTTGGTGTAGGTTTATATGATCTCAGTTTGTTTATACTAGATACGTTATTTTTGTATGTAGTTCATTGACGTAAATCTCCTATAGCTTAGACTGCCTCACATCACGGTGTATTGCATCTCTGAAAGCTTATAGTAGTAAGTAGCTCTGAACCTGGATTGCTTTCCCACTATTGAAGGTTATCTATCAGGTTTATCTGTAATCTGTAGTGGGGAACACTAAGATTGAGTCTATTCTACTCAAGGCGGCAGTCACAATTTATACCACTAGGTTATCGAGTTTACTATTGTCTATTGTAGAAAATAGTTGTGTTCACAATCTCAGCGTCGTGTTCTTCTTTCACACATATTGATAGGTTTTTATCAACACTCTCAGGGATTAGAAAAAACGCATTGGTTATTTATTGCTCAGAAATTGATTTTCACAGTATTCCTGCTCATGTACAGTATGCGACAACTTTGAATTTATTCAAGGCTTCATTTCTTTGTCATTCGTAAAAATATTCCTAAGTGTTAGCGCGTATCAAACCTTATGTACCGTTTTGTTTAGATTCAGTGTCCACAACTTGTGAAATGCTGCAAAATGTTCAGGAATACGAGTTTTATTTGACACAGTTCACTGAGCATATATGGATTTGATAACTGGCTTGTCAACTAGATATATTGTTGAAGTAAATACCCTACTACTTATTTACCGTAGGCTAAGACCTTATCACCCATCGGTGAACAATCAAGTCATTAAACTTAAGTTGTATGTCTGAAAATCATCTAGTGATTTGTTTAAAGCGCCCAGTTTATGTACATACAGTAAGTTGTCTACTGTAAGTGTTGTATTATGCTATTTGATTTACAAGCGATAAGGTCTCCAGAATTTGATAAGCTTTAAAGGAACGGCATCACAATAGATGCCACACTGAATAACTGCTTGAAGTCACAAAGAAATACGCTATAATGAGCATGAACGATCACAACAGTTAGTTATCATTAGCAGATTGGTGTTACGAAAAACACGTAAATGACTTTTTATCGATTCTTAACTCAAATCCAAGCCTTAATACCATATCTAATTTATGCTAGCAAACAGTACGAATAGACTTCACCAGGAAATAATGCAAAAATTCCGATTTAACGTTTAGTGAAACAAACAATGTGAGCGAAGAAATATTTCTCTTCAATTAGTTCCTCATCAATGGCTCTACACTAACATATGACATTTTCAAACGTGAATTACATACCAATCTAGTGGTGAGAGTTGTTCAATGAAAGGTTATCAATCTGAAAGTATCAAGAAGGTGATAATTGATCAGGTAATTAAGACAGTTAACTAAAGCATAGATTGATTATAGAAGAAAGATCTTGTGAAATTTTAAACAGGTTCTTACATAATTGATATTTTGTATAATGGTAAGTAGAGAGCGAAAGTGAACTGTTACGTAAAGTGGTAAATTGTTGACGGTAACTGGAGACAGTAGGGGGAAGAGGAGAAGATGGCTATATCTGTAATAATAATAATAACAATAATAGAGCTATTCAAATATTAGTTACAGTGAATTGTGTGGTGGATGAAATGAAGAGTCTTGTTGTAATAAATGAGCTATACAGATGGCCAAGGCAAAGAAAGAGGCTGTACGAATCTCTTCTGAACACACAGATTTGACTTGTGTAGGTGGATTCCTATGGCTTGTGCTGTATGTAAAAGACGAACTCGTAGGGCATGGTTGAGGTTAGAAAGAACGTGATAAATAATTTTAAAGGCATTATGAATGTTAACTGAGTGGCCGGTGTCAATAGATGCGAGAGTAATGAGCTTCGTATTGATCTGGTTTGCCCCTCACTTAGCTATGAAGGCTGATGCTCGGCGATTCGACGACGACTTGCCTATATGTGCGTTCAATGTAACTATCTACACTGGAGTAGTTAACTAGTAAATGCACACAGAAGATGAGAAGTCAGGTAGTCTGTCTTTAGTTCGTGTGGTCATCATCGGCCGGCTGTAGAAAACACAACATAACAACACACGTCTTTCTTCTATAATCAATCTATGCTTTAGTTAACTGTCTTAATTACCTGATCAATTATCACCTTCTTGATACTTTCAGATTGATAACCTTTCATTGAACAACTCTCACCACTAGATGGGTATGTAATTTACGTTTGAAAATGTCATATGTTAGTGTAGAGCCATTGATGAGGAACTAAGTGAAGAGAAATATTTCTTCGCTCACATTGTTTGTTTCACTAGGAAATCCTAAATTTCGTAAACTGAATAGCTTGTTAAACTGACTGAGGTGCTACGAACTACTGTTAATGACTAGAGGCTTTAATTGAGTTTCTCTGTTGTTTTCTTAAATTTGTGATGAAGATGCCATTCATTGTGTACAGAAATGTGAATCAGTTTCTGAAGGATAGTATAAGAAGTGGAAAGTGAATACAGAAGGCAAATAAAGAAGGAGCAGGAATTGAATATTGAATCACCTTGAACATAGAATGTGGAAATATTTTGCAAGAAGTGTATCCAATGTAGAGTTTTCATATTTTAACAAGTGTTATTTTGGTATTTATGTTTCCTAATGAATGTAAAACAAAATAAATTTGTTCCAATTGATGCTGCTATGGATTCATCTGTTTCATTCACTGTAGCTAATCTGTTATAAGGAAATTTGAAGAAAGTATCTTCACTTGCTTACTGAAGCCGAAAATTTAGCTAAAGTAGATTGATGACACAATCGTAGTTTTAAAACGTGACTTATATAAGGCATTCTTAGATCAGTTGAACTCTAAATCTCCCAGTATCAAGTTCTGCTCAGAAAAGGGTACAGATAAAGGGGAACCGCCTTTCATTGATTGTCTTGTTAAGCGTAAAGTAAACATTGACGTATAACCATTTCAGGAAGACAAGACATTCGAACAAATATTATGATTTCAACTCATCACATCCAATTAGTGCGAAAGATTCTGTTGCCTTCAACACACACTCTAATAACATATGAAAATGATACTTAAAATGAATAACTATCCGGGAAAATTCATTCGCAAAAGGGAAAATAACGTTAAATAAGATCGTAGAACTACTACAAAATGATGGAACTCGTCAATAGTTATCCCTTAAAGACCGAATACAGATGAAATTAGGAGTGCTCAACAAATACAGTATCAGAGTGTTCTACACAACATCGAACATATTACAGAGCACCTTAGTTCATTGGAAGGACGAGATCCCTCTAGATTCACAATCTAATTGTTTATAGAATAAAATGCTCAGGCTGCAGTACAATATACATAAGACAAACTTTCCGTGAAATCAAAAGTAGCAAAAAAATGAACATCGAAGAGTTTCCACCTGACCACCTAGAAATCCAATGGAACTGAAAAAACTTGAAAGTACATCAGCCATAGCTCTACATACTGTAATTTCAGGTTATAAGGTCGATTTTTGACACTATTGAAATTATTCAGAAAGGCTGTAAAAATTGTAAAGAACGTTTCATAGCAGAATGTCTTCACATTAAGTGAAATGAAAATTGTTAAAATAGGAATGAGGAGTAAACCGTAGTTTAACCTGGTCTCAACCCACCTTGACATATATACATACATACGATAAGAACTATCAACACATGTATACATACACATCTCAGTCTGTACTTCATACCCTCATCATACACAACATATGGATATCATCTTTATTCTATTCTTTATTCTGATAACTCAGAATCATTCATCAAGTTATCACATATAAGCATGGATATTGCATATTCCGGTTTGCTATAACTTTGATAAACTTATCAGCAATAAACAGCGAAATGTCAGTTGAAGCAAATTTAATTTGTTTTACAATCATTGGGTTATACAATGGATTTGTTGTTCCTGAGGCCAGCCAGCCTGTTCCGGTCGTAATTTTGAATCCAGCGCATCTTTGAGTCTCTCCAGGATGATGCGGCTCAATATTTGGCTTGAGGTGGACAGAAGCATGATTCCGCATCAGTTCTTGCAAAGACTTCAGGACTTCGACTTTCGTCAGAGGGCTTATGTTCACTTGTAGTTCCGTGACTAGGCTGCATGTGGTATTTCTGGATGAAGTGCAGGTGGTGGTCGATTCAAAAGCTTTTTGAAGTGATCAGCCGATCGTCTCCTTTGTTTCCCTTCTTTGGTAATTTGATTTCCTTCATCATCTTTTATTGGTTTCATCTGTGTTGATCTCTCCTATCCCAGATATTAACCTGGTTATTTGATACACTTATCAGCAATAAATAGCGAAACGTCAGTTGAAGCAAATTTAACTTGTTTTACATTCATTGGGAAATACAAATACCATAATGATGAATATCTTTTATACAAAGCCCAAGTCTTTTCAAACCACCAAATCCCAACTTAGTTTTCATATCTATAAAGATAGTGTAATTTCCCAACAGTTCTCATGTGTATTTTTATTGAAATATTATATGCTCCTAGACAATTTGTCTCATAGCCCGGGCCGAAGTTGCTTAAATAAACGAATACATAACATAGTTTGGTGTAATCATTATCCTCCTTACATGAGTATTCGTCACTAGTTAGGCTAAATTAAGCATGATCGCTTCAGATTAATCTCGATTATTTGTTATTCACGTTTACGAGGATGGATATCGTCAAAAATAGACCATAGGAGGTAAAATACGCACACATCTCATTCTTCTTCATTGTTTCTTGACTTTCCACGAAAATACTGGTATCATGACTTTCATCTTCACAATAAAGTGTGACGAATGTACCAGAT